CCAAAATTTCCTTTGTATAACTATATAATATTGAGAGGTCTAAGAAAATGTTGTATGTGCTATTTTGTTCCAACAAGGTTCGGAAAGATATTTTATTTCATTCTCAAGAATTGGTAGAAAGAAACAAAAAACAATTCCATTAAAAAACATAAAAATGTTAACAAAACAGTTATATAAAATATATATAAATAATTTTCGCATTAAATTGTTGTCAATCAGTCAACATTACATAAAGAACTTTTTTACACAATGTTTTCAATAATTGGTTTAAGAGAAAACTATTGTTGAATTCGATTCACCATATCGATACCAATCCTTTGTTGAAAAAACATTGACAAATTATAGTTTTAAATGTGAAGAGAACGAGCTTTGACGGGGGTTTGGGAGGGGGGCTTTTCTCCTCCAAGAAAATTAATGAGATTGTATTTAAAAGCGTTCTGCGGCGTTTTAAGATATGAAATTCCGACTAATATGGACCAATCGAATGTAAATTATTGGCCATTTTATCAGAATATTCAGGGGTTTCAATAGCAGCAGGCAACAGGCGATTTTTACCAGTTGTTTTAAAAATTTGCCTGCATTTAAAGATCCGGTTTTTATTGACTACCTAAACGCTACACCAATAGTCCATTTTCTCCACTTGGCCACTCTTTGATTGAGCCAGGCCTATTGGAAGATTGGAGGCACTTTTGATCAATTTTGCAAAGGGTTAATTTTATTCTCATCTGTCTCAACAGAACAGGAATATCTCAGAATTCAAAGTCATACCGTAAACTATATCATTGATTGGCCAAGGGTTCATCAAAAATCCTGGGAAATGACATCTTCTGGACGTAAAGCGTGGGAATATCTGATATGACCAGTTCCCATGGCAGTGTGTCACCTGTCATTTCTCTGGAATGATGTACACTTTCCTCCAAAGATTGGAAACAATTGTACTACAGTAAAACCTGTATATCTGAACACTTGGCTAATCTGAACACCTCCAAATTTGAATATTTTTTGGTCCCGTTTTTCCTCCCATTGACTCAAATGTTAAAAACCTTGAACAGTCATTCCAGATAGTAATGCCCCAATCATAATTTTTCTGTCGCCGTGTATTTTCTCTCAAATAACCAGGTGCCTGTACTGTAGTATTAAACATTATAGTTGTATAGGATGGTTCGGTGCCTAATATTGTCACTATAAGTTTGGCTCAATTTTCCACATAAGTGTTGTCACAATCAGTTAAAGTCAGAAATTCTTAAATTACGTTATTGTCGCCAAGAAGCATTTTTAGGTATATGGAAGAAAACAGTTTACTTATCACAATCCGTATTATATATTTTCATGAGTAACAATGATGTGTTACAAATGTGCATGCGAAGTTTCAAACCAAAATACTAACAAGAACCTCTTATTTTTCACGTTATAATAATGTCGCCAGATTCTTGAAAGTTACTGCCTGTTGCATGTATACCTGATATGGAGCTTATACATTGTACCGATGTGACGTTTACCTTTAAACCAACATCAAATACTAGTTTACATATAAAACATTCATGAAATATATAGAATGTCAATGTATTTACCAAGATATATCATTTGTGACTTGTCAAAAAATATTTTTTGAAACGTATGGATAAGGACTTTAAACTACGTTACCAAATATCCAGCAAAATAAAAGAACGAAGGCACTGTTTCCCACATATATTGTACGACAGCCTTGGATGACTTAATATGAGACCCTACTCTGTCGTTTAGTACTGAATTATAATAATTTATTTGCATTAAAATGTCACAAATATCAAATAACGTTACCTTAAACTACGTGAGACTTTTTTACGAAACAATCCTATTTGACTTGTTTTATAACTACAATCTTAATGACAATGGGCCATATGGTGAGTTTAGGTGCGCCATGGCGCCATGTTGACTCAAAGCTGTGTATTATCTCTGACAATCGACTACAATCCATCAAAATAATTGAAAATATGTAAGTAAATACCTAACTCCATTCACAATCTCAGTAAAGAACATTTAAGGAATTTTGGATACTAATTTCGAAGCACATCATTCATTAGAAACATGTTATTTGTGGTGCAAGAACAAAACTTTCAATTTGAAATATATTTGGTGAAATTCGATATTAATTCGATAAATTCGATAAATTACGTTATGTTCGGTAACGTAATTTAAATCGATCGTTAATCCTTTTCTGACTTGATTTGGAGTTTCAAATAGGGGGACATTCTTTCCGAAAATGGGTAAATCAAGAGCAGTGATTCAAAAAGCCTATATTGAATTGAAAAGAGAAATGGAAAAGATGGGGAAAAGTATAGAAAGAAAGGGCGCGTGTTAAGGAAATGGTGGAACAGACAGAACATTTTTGAAAAAAATGCAATACCTGCTCATTATATTTTCTTTGACAATATAAAAAATGAAGGCATGTAGAAATTTCAGGAAAGTATCGTCACAGTGTCTTCTTTTCTTGAGTCTGGTAAGAGATCAATTTAACTCCAGGAAATGCTGAAATTTCATGAAAAACATTCAAAATGGTCGTCTTTTCAATTTTTCAATGTTTTCTCAAAGTTTCTGTACGACACTTGAGTTACCAAGGGAAATGTACACATGCCATCATACTTTAATTTCAACAGAAAATAACATGTGCAGGTGTATCAATTTTTTCAAAAATGTTTTCGTTACACCATTACCTTAAGCGGTACCACACACCTATGGTAGAGCTCTCCTTTCAAACGTTTGTTTCTTGCTTTGCCTCGCGGAGTGCAAAAAATGAACCCCAGAGTAAGAGCACTGACGCAGACGAACCCTATGATAATAGAGCAGCTGTTATGTGCATAATCGACAATTATACTACTGCAGTCTATGATGGTGCTTGGTACATTGGAAAAGTAGTTAATGTGGATGGCGTGCTACGAAACATCATTTATGATTACTAGTAACAGACGGGGGTATTTTCAGTGGCATTCGCCAGAACGTACTCTGGGTAGCCAGAACATGTACTCTGGGTAGAACATGCAAACGTTCTTTGCCAAATAGTGGATTTGATTCCCAAGTGGGGGAATGCAAGAATGTTCAAGATTACCTGAACTGATGATAAGCTATTTGCCTCAAAAATTGAATCAAGAGACAATGACGTCTGATATGTGGTTTTGGACAGATATGATTTGAAAATACGTTTTACTGTAAACATTTACTACTAGTTCACGTTGACAGTTGTTTTAGCGACGTCTCTAGAGATGTTGAATTAAGTGATAAAGTTAAGAAGTAAGTTTTACATAGACTTTGAACAATATTTGCTCTCGTTATCTAATGTCGTCGACTTTACAGTTTCTTAACAAGCGTTACCAAAATTTGCTGATCCAGTGCTAGGATAAGGGGTTTATACCAAGTACATTTAGCACCATTATTATTCACAATATGTAATGATTTTTTTTTGTTTTTGTAATGTATTCTTGATCAGATTTAATGACACATGAAACTGATGCTCTAAGATGTTAATCTACGTTACCGTTCGTTTGAATATAGTACGCAAATGCTATATTTTACATGAACATAACGTGTTTTCATAAAATGAGTTTCTCTTATGTAAAACGTATATTAAACGGACCACTTTAATTCTTTAGAAACCACAATATTGTGCAACTGATTGAATTGAAAATGTCAGCTTCCATCAATTAATCTACGTTACAATATAGGCATGTTCAATGCTTGAGTTTTTTTACAAATAGATAACTTAATGATTAAATGACTGACAAACATTATGGAAATTACAATTTAAAGGACAAAAATATAAAATAATTGTAATTGAGCAAAAAAGTTCAAAAGCCAACTATTATTAATCCTCCTGATAAGTATCAGTACCCTAATGTCTGTACTTTAAGGTAGAAAAACAAGTATTCAAATCAATTTAGATGGTACCTATAACGTAATTTAAAATGGCACAAAAACTTAAGATGTGTACCACATATTTCAAATCAAAATTACTACGAAACCAAGAGAGTCTAAAAGCCAATTTTTTAGTATTATGACCCTCAAAAAATAACAAGGTATGAAGTGAAACGGAGAAACTTTATTTTTGTCATTTTCCGAAAACTGATTGGGGCATTACTATCTGGAATGACTGGAAATGTGAACACCTCCCAATTTGAACAGTGGACAGTCATGTTTGAAAAATTAACCTATCTAATTTGAACACTTTTCATAAAGTATCACATGTTCCATACAGAATTGATCAAATATTTGAAAATAACTTCAATTATCTCACTCATGGGGGGGGGGGGCTTTCTAGGATGACTAAATTCATTTGAATCGGATTTTCATGTCACCGTTATGCCATAAAGCTAGGTAGTCAAGACAACTACTGATTTAGAAATATTTGAGAACTTCCTATTCCTTCAAAATCCCAAATATTGCAAATGCAAAACCTCAAAATGTGAACACCTCCTGATGCGAACGCTCTTAGCTGGTCCCTCGCATTAGACAGGTTTTACTGTAGATACAATTCCCTCAGATCTTCACGGCTAAAGAGGTGTTCATTAGGATATTTTACTGTACTGAAATCGCTGGCTGAGAATCGGTGTTCACTATACACAGTTGTTCAATAGAGTAGAGTCATGTGTTCACTGGGCACAGATCTTCACTAAAGAGGTGTTCATTATGACAGTTTTACTGTACTGAAATCAATCACTGACTGGGAATTCACTAAACAAAATTCACGGACATCTAATTAAATACGTTCTTCGAACTGCCCTGGAACTATATCACAAAATTGATATGTGTGTATCATACCCGGGGTATCACCCCTGCAAAATAATTGACTCGCCCACTTGGTCTCTTGAAGTGAATGCATGCATTTCTTTCAAACTCTGACTAAGAAATCGCTGGATTTTGGTTGACATCAAGCATTGAATGTTTATCCAGTCTGTCACCTGGGTTCGGTTGATCCACTTTTTTCGTTCAGTGTACTCTCTATAATGGAGGAAATAAAATTTAAGAAATGGCGGACACATACTTTTTCGGAAATTGGTTTATTTTTGTTGATTTCTCAAATAAATTGTAACATTATATTAATTTAATGTTTCGACCGAGAAGGTAAGTATTTCACCTTTCTATATGGACATATATTAGTAGCAAATTCTCACATAATGATTTGATATTAGTACAAATTCTTGAAGCTACAGAAAAAAATTTACGAAGTGGCCAGAAGTTATCCCGTTCCCGGACTATGGTCCTGTGAACATCTCAATCTTTTGCCTGTGCGATTACAACATGGGAGAATTTTTTACTCATCTTACACTTCAGATACCTACTTCAATAGATTCCTTGGTAATTTAGCATTCTTTTCGTGTAGTTGAATCCACAATTGTCTGGGTTTATCGGCAGAACGAAGACATTTTCGTTTTTGATCGCAATATTTGCGTGTAACATTTACTTATTTCAACCGTCAAATTCCTCCATATTGGTACTTCCGGGCTACATCCGGGACAGCCAAACGGGGGATTCCCCTTTTAAATCCAACCGCCATTTTGAAAAGTGATGGAATCTCTCTCGATGAAAAAGAGAAAATGTTCCCGTTCTGCCGATATACCCAGACATGAGACAATCGGCGGTTCCAATATATTAGAAGTTACATCTTGAGTTCTATAATGCATCGAGGTAGGTATCTTAAGTGTAAGGGGCGTAGATAATTCTCCGAAGTTGTAATCATACAGGCAAATGAATGCGCTCAGTGCAGGACTATAGTCCGGGAACGGGATAAGCCAGAAGAAGTGAGTAGCTCCCAGAATTCTTTCATATTCTATCGTATTCGGGGGTTCCCCATTACGTCATCTTCCGCATCATCTCCAATCAAATTACAGGATTCGATCACGTGAACAATCATGAACATGTGCTCTCTCTCTCATGCTCATAGTAAAATTTGAAATCGTGGAAATCGCGTTAACATCAGTTCAATATCATCAAAAACCTACGGTAATACTATTGAAGTTGCTCGATCCAAACTTGTAGAGAATACTCATAAAACAACATTGGGAGATTCAGTTCAATGGCAAATGAGCACGGATAGTGGGAAGTCCTCCATCTAGGAGGTATATACACCAGGTTATGCGACTAAAAATTTAAAAAATATGAAAAAAATATGGTCACCTGTCCTCTAGATTCAATTTTTGAATGAATCGTAGCATAATGTACAGATTATTTGATATCATGCTATTCTTGAAACATTTATACGCAAAAATAACTGGGTCGCTCACCTCTTATGCCTATATGTCAATTCTCGTGAGTAAAATTTCTCCAGGCCATTGAAAGGTCCGCTCAGTAAATTGACAATTTATACTGCGCATGTGTCATGACCTACTTCAGGTTGTGAAACACTGGACAAAATGGTTTGGTAAATTTCAAGCTATTTGATACCGTTGTGCGCATGCGCGCCTTTGCGTGATTTGCTTTATTCTCGCGAGATAAGGCACTCCGTCCCCTTAAATTTTTATTTTGAACATTGCAACCATTATGATTTGGTGCATTATCTGACCAATAAAGCAGATTTGGAGGTATGAATATTTTTTTTATTTTTCTGTTTAGTGTTTTCTACAGGCCCTATGTGTCTCAGGATATTTGTTTAACATAAACTAGACAAATAATTTATTTTAGAAATACATATTTTTTATTTTGGATGGAAGATGCGTAACCTGACAAATAATATAAGTAATATATGGAGGACTTCCCATAACCGTGCAAATGAGGCCTGTTCACAGTCAGCACCATCTATCTAATATAATAGAATGAAATCTGGTAACTTAGAAAAAGAGAAAATTCTAAATTATTTTTTTCTCATGCCAGGGGCTTTGCTCAGTGATATTATATGTTTATTCAACTTTCATATTTTGAAACTTGTCAGAAATTTTTTTTAACGATTTCTTGACTGTCAATAAATAGATATGAGGTCATGTCCATGAGCAGAGTTTTGGCCCAAAAAAGTAAGAAATTTGTGCTTCAAGCTCAATATCTGCGATTTGCAAGCGATTCTGACCATGTTTTAAGTATCAAAATAATGCTCAGAGTATTGAGACTCAACTGAAGTTAAAAAATAAGGTAAAATATACACCAATTAGTGATTATGACCAAACAAAAACGGGAGACCAAACGGGAAGTCAAAGTGTAACAGCACTTTCAGTCTAGATATCTGAGGATTGATAGTGCTCACTGTGGGCCTGTTTATAAAATTTGTTTTCGAACGTTCCAATATGAAAGGTCATCTTTGGGAAATCTTCCCCCCCTGCGAAGTGTCTGGAGTAAGGTCCAGATGAAAAATACCATTTTGGTAAAAAAATGCTGTACATGCACATGTTATTTTCTGGTACACTATAAAGTATAAAGGCATGTGTTAATTTCCTTGCTTTTTTCAGGAAAGTATCATTACATTGTCTTATTTTAGTATATCTGGTAAGAGGTCAATGGGAACTCCAGGGAAACTCTGATATTTCAGGGTTTGTATAAAAAACCTACTACCTCATACCCACCTACCCACCTACCTGGAACATGTTACAGTCATTGAAGGGTTCAATTTTAAAGATTATTAAATCTCAAAACTTATTAACATTTCTACAATTCAGGCTTTATTTTATGACTAGACAGATGACAGATCCATAAATAAAGGCATATGGATGCATTTTAATGTTTTATGACCCGAGAGCGCTCTAGGGGAGTAAATAACTAATGACCGTGAGCATAGGTCCAACAAGCCAGATAAAGAAATTGAAAGAAAGTGTGCTAAATTCTATGCTCCAAGTGGGAATCGAACCCAGCTGGGATGTAGTAGCAACTTGCTATCAAGGGTCGTTACAAATGCATGTATAATTCATCATAATCTTTTAACTAAGATTTAATAAACTAAGATCTTAAAAATTGAACACTTCAGACTGTATCATGGTAGGAGGTTTTTTATACAAAGCCGATATTTCACACTTTCTATTTTTCCAAATTTTCTTTCAAAGTTTCCAGACAACACAGGAGCTACCATTGACCTGTTTCCAGGCCGGTTTACTAAAAGTAGACAATGTAATGATACTTTCCTGAAAAAAGCAAGGAAATATACACATGCCTTCATACTTAATTTTGTACCAAAAAATGACATATGCAGGTACAGCAATTTTTTACCAAAATTTTCCAGCTGAATCTTAAATTTTAAGGCTCTTTAGCCAAAATTTAAGGCTATTTAGCTGTGAACATGGTATTTTGGCTAGAGAGCCTTGGTGTTTATAATCCGTGTTGAAATTGTTTTTCATTGATGTTTACGTAATCTACACAATAAAATAACAGTCCCTAAAGTTTTTCGACACAGAATGCCACTTAAAAATATTACATATGTACATTACTACATAGTTGCTAAAACTTAACATCAATCATGGAATATTTTTCAGTTTATCGGGAATCCAGGGATATCAGCCCAGGACATCAGCCAGGGACATCAGTGAATGCACTTCCAAATCTATTAGCCTATTAGATTCCAATGCTGATATTATATGATTTTTCACATGACAATATATTTTTCATAATTTTTTGCAAAAACTTCCCCCTCAAAAGTCCTTCATTTGTATCAACGTTTTTTAGGCTAGCCTCCAATTCATCAATAAATGTGACCCCCACACCTAAAATTCTCCGAGTGACCTATTCTTTACATCAAAATCTTCACCGGAAAATTTAAAGGGACACTTTAAAAGGACAAATGCGACTTAAAGAGGATAAAATGGTTAATTATAAAAATGACTTTTTTTCTGGATATAGATTTGATTGCCTGGTCTAACTCCTTCTTTGAACTTATTTTCGAAGATGCATGAAGGTTCAATCAAAGTCAATGTTTGAACCTTTAAAAAGTCAAATTTAGATTGAAGATTGGAAAGAACCTTTATTTTTCTCTGAACATCGGAAGTATATTTATGAGTCAAGTAAAAAGTGATAATGTTCTTTACAGTGGGGAAGTCAAAACAGTATAGTACTATAGTAGAATAGAAGTCATAATAAGAATTCAAAGATCATTTAGAAGCATTTAAATCCACGGCAAAAATTGAAATGACTGTAATCTTATGTTTTCATCTTCATCTTCTTCGCGGACCTCAGAGAAGACACTTCGTGTTAATAATCAGTGATTTTATCAATCAAAAATATTTCTTTTATGTATTTGTCCAATATCTGCTTAAATATGGTACAGTGTATGTATATTTGTGTTGATTGTTAAATTACAAAATAGATTGGGTAAAGAATATGTCGAAGTCTTCTGATCTCGTCTCAGAAGCAATATTTTGTCTTTTCCGCCACTTAGAATTCCTTTAAGCTCTAGCAAAATTGGCTATAAAAAATCCTGGGGAGATCACTGACATCGGTTCCCAAATGCAGATTGATGGTCATTCATCTATCTAGAATTAGAGAACAGCTATACTGCATTCTGATTGGATAAGATATTCTGATTAAGCATGGTCATGTTTGAATTATGTATAGAGGTTGTATAACACCAACACTACAGTATTTATAAAGCAAATGTTTCTAATCCCAATTTGGTAAATAAATTGTAACATCAGGTACTTGAATGGATAGTAGAGTTGTCCATGAAAGAAGATCAACTCCTCCACTTTCTGTGTACTTTGGTTGGGGGGTGGGTTCAGTGAATACAAAGCTTGACAGGGATCTTCACAGCAATTGGGATATCTTTTTTTTAAACATTTGGTAGCAATGGACATAATGTATATTTGTGTGATAATGAGTAGTAGTGGTAGTAGTATATCTCATGGAGGGGTGAATTCGATATATTGTAGTACTTATATAAAATATGAATCTACCATAACATCTTTAAGTAAATTCACAACAGTTTATAATTATGTGTGACGTACATTGACTGTATGATTGCCTCTGAAGCATCATACCAGTGTATGAGTTTACAATACATTGCACCAGTTTTCCTTTTCAGAGCTAAAGCAGAATGTCGATGGCACAGGAAAAATTTGTTGCATTGCGCAAAAGACTCGACCAGTTAGGTTATAGGCAGCCTCTTGGGATTGAATCCCTCCCTCTCGTGGAGAGACTATTTGCTGATCTAATACACACAACAGAAAGCCTCAAACGTGCAAAACTAGAAACAGTACGTCCTAAGGAAACAAAGGATTTCACTGCAGCAGTAGACCCATATAAAAGTGACAATGCTAAACTAGTCAAAGAAAATAATCAACTACATGTTCAGCTGATTAAGAAAACTGAGGAGTCTGATGCTACAATAAGAGGTAAGAAAGATGCATCAGTAGATTATTAAGAACGTAAAATGTCTGATCGATAGACTGGTACCAGAGATGAGTTTTAGCCTTTGGTCAACAGGGATTTCAATAGCAGCAGGCAACAAGCAATTTTCACCATAAAACCGCCTGTTGTTTTGAGGGACTTTTCCACATGAAGGTTTTTTGATTTCCATTAGTTTTGCCTGTTTTTCATTTTATTTAGCCTGTTGTGAGAAATTCTTGTGAAACCTCTAGTCAATGATAATATGTGCAATTTAAATTAACCACACCACACAATTTAAAAGTACATGTAAAAATTTTATTTCACTACCAAAACAATGACAAAATTACAAAGTATAGATATGGAATTCTTGTTAATATATTCTTTATGCATGAATATAAACTTCATGTATGTAACATATGTATTTTCATGATCCATCTTAAAAATCATTCTCAGAATTGGCATTTTAAATGATTACAGATCTGAAAGAAAGTTTGAGAAAGCTAGAACATGACAGTGCAGATCTGAGATTCCTCAATAACCAATATGTTCACAAGATACGTGCCATAAAACAAGAATCTAAGGCAAAGACAGAAAAGATCTTGCAACTCCAAGAAAAAAACTTCCAGGCTGTTGTGCAGACACCAGGTATGTAAATATATTAAAGCAGTCGCACACTGTTACTTAATCAAAATATTTTGATTCTTTATATTAGAAATAAATTGATAACATAAAAAATTAATTGTAAGCTACTATTCTCTAGAAAAATTACATAAATTTTTATTAATTTGGATTTACCCTAACCTTAACACAACAAAAGGCATCTTCTGCTTAACTAAAAAGCTCAAAAACTCAAACCACACTTTTAAAAGTTAATTAAAAGTTAAATAGATGTCACTCTTTTCAATGCATTAATTACTTTAAACTATACATTTTGTCATGGGCTTTCAGCCCATGGTTCTGTTTTGAAATAAAAAATGTAAACTAAATATTTGCAGGTGGTAGGAAGAAATCAATTCCATTCAGACGCCAACGTATGGAGACTGATTGTCTCTTACCCCCCTCCACAACCCCATCCCCACCCCTACCTCAGGCCGATGACCCATACGTCGCTGATCTACTTCAGGTAAGTGATGAGTCCTACTTTGATACATTTAATGTCACCACAACAATTGTTGAAGTCTCCAACTTTTTTGTGGATGGTGTTCGGCGTTGGTGTTTAGCATTCAGTGTCTGTAGCAAATGGCAGGTGGTGACATTTTGCATGTTTGTGCCTTATTATTATCCCATCGAACGAAGTTCGGAGGGATATAGGGAACGCCTCCGTCCGTCCGTCCGTCTGGCCGTCGGTCCGTCCGGGCAATAACTCAAATACCGTTGGCCCGATTTTGTTCATATTTTGTACACATATACCCTATGGGGGTAGAAGTTCTGCTCGAAAGCCGATTTTCAAAATGGCCGCTCATTTCAAAATGGTGGCCATTTTAGTGCCGATTTTACAGTAATTTAGGTGCAATATGTAAACTGTTATAGCAATATGTTTTAAATGTAAAAAGATGATAAAGGACAATAATAATGCTACAAATGTAGATGTTAAAGAAGCACATGGCAGCCATCTTGAAAAATGGCGGCCTTTACGCATCATTTTACGATTTTTGCTGTAACTCAAAAAATAGTGGATTTTGTTCATATTTGGTATGTGAATACTATAAGCATTGCACACTGTCTAAAGACACTTTTGGTAGAAGGCGGCCATTTTGAAAAATGGTCACCATTTTAACGTATTTTACTATAACTTGAAAAGTAGTAGAGCGATTTTGTTCATATTTGGTATGTGAATACTATAAGCATAGCACACTGTCCTATGACACTTTTGGTAGAAGGCGGCCATTTTGAAAAAAAATTTGAAAATTGGCTGCCATTTTAACGTATGTTGCTATAACTCGAAAATTAGTGGAGCGATTTTGTTCATATTTGGTATGTGAATACTATAAGCATGGCACACTGTCCTATGACACTTTTGGTAGAAGGCGGCCATTTTGAAAAAAAATTTGAAAAATGGCCACCATTTAAACGTATTTTACTATAACTAGAAAAGTAGTGGAGCGATTTTGTTCATATTTGGTATGTGAATACTATAAGCATGGCACACTGTCTATTTCTAATGACACTTTTGGTAGGAGGTGACCATTTTGAAAAATGGCCGCCATTTTAACGTATTTTACTATAACTCGAAAAGTAGTGGAGCGATTTTGTTCATATTTGATACGTGAATACTTTAAGCATGGCACATTGTCTAATAAAACTTTGGGGAGTAGTCGACCATTTTGAAAAATGGCCAACATTTTTATGTGTGTGTTATTTTACAAGTACGTGTGCGATTTTTCAAAAATTTTAGAGGTGGCTACTTAAAAGCATATTATTTCTTCTGATGACAACTTTGCTAGTGAGCAACCATTTTGAAAATGGTGGCCTTTCTGGTGTGTTGTTTTATAATATTTGCTATTCGTTTGTAAAAATGCCAGCCATTTCTGTTCGATGGGATACGCTACGCTTTGGCGTTGCCGTTGTTCTGGTTCATTTCAGGAAAGCTACATTTCTATTTATTTCATCAACAGATTTTATTGCAATAAGTTCATACAAGTGCAAATCATACAATACAAGGGACATTTTCGTCACAGTCCTTATTTGTAGAAATGCGAAATATGGTCTGTAATAGTATGTTTAATATATTAATTAATTTTATCAAAATTGGACTGTTTCTGGCTCACTTTTAATCAGGGTTTGAAACTGCTGCCGGACTGCAATCACTTTTCACTCTGCAAAAACAGTTGCCTTTTGGGCAATAAATTGAGAATCGAATGCCAATAATGTGAATCTAGGCATGTTTTCAACTTTATTCTTGACCCCTACTTTTAGTTGAATATCTACAAAATCTGACTCTTCTTTCCTATATCTAGTATCTATGATATTTATGTTTTAGGTGGCTGACAATAGGATAGCTGAGCTTGAGAGTCAGGTGGCCAGAATTGTTGATGAGAAAACAGCAATTGAGAAAAAAGTGTCAATGTTCAGAAAACAGGTTAGTTTAATGTATTTATCATTTTTGTCGCCTGATTAAGAAATGGTGACATATGAAGGAATCAGGAATCAGATATGCACACGGTTGTTTAACCCTTTCACGACAATAGGCTCCATATGGAGCCCTATTATGTAATACCTTTCAGGATGATGGGCTCCTTTTGGCACCATTATTTTTATTTATATACATCAATGAAATGACAATATTTCTAGTTCTATTCAGTATTTTTACACCAAATTTCGACAATTCAGTTACCAGGCCAACATTTTCCTCTTATATTCATGTCGGGAAAGGGTTAAAACATCATAGATGCTCTAACAGTGTGGGGATTAAACTGAAGCAGATATAACAAGATAAATAAAGATATTTTGACGCAATAAAAGCTGCCGGAGGAGGGCACACTAACTACTAAGGACATCATGATACTTGAGAGTTAGTGGTGAGTTTAGATGATCTTTCCAATGGTATATCACACTAAGTATGAGTTTAGCTGTAGCAGGGGGTGGATTTATTTGACACTGTGCATATTGAGGACAACTGTGAATCATGTTTTAATTTCATCAATATATTCAATAAAGTTAGTGCAATGCATGCATCTAAATAAGAAAGTCTAACAGACATTAAATGTCTTGAAATAGAGTTGAGTTTCACTTGAAAAACTTTACATATGTCAAAGTGTTATTATTGACTGTATAGTACCCCACACAGATTTTTGATAATAACTTTGACCTGTGATTTGAACACTTCCCCCTATACTATTTGTTATTAAATTTAGCACACATAAACTAGAGGCAATTTCCAACATTGGAAATTTTTTATTGAGCCATATGTTAAATAAAGATTAAATGGTAGTAATTTCAAAATGCTAAACAATGGGCAATATTTTACCAAATTGCTACATTGTTTCAATGAATATGCCCTGTAGTACATTTTAACATTTATGATTATGACAACAACCGGATAACTATATATCTAGGGCAAATGTATTTCCAAAATAAAACTTTGTTGATGGACCTGTGTTATAGACAGACTACCCATAGACTATTCAAAAATACCATAAAGGCCTACTTTTCACGGAGTATTATTGTTCAAATAAGTGATAAGTAAATGAAATTGTTAAAACAGCAATTCTTAATTTTGATCTTATGACGTCAAATTGGTTAAAATGCATTAATAATACCCTTGGTTCAGTTGCTTGTGTTTTTATTGTTATTGAAGTAAAATAAAAACGGAAAAATTCCACTGTTGGAAATTGCCTCTTGTTTATGTATGCTAATTTTAATAACAAATAGTTTAATGTTAAGTGTTCAAATCGCAGGTCAAAGTTATTATCAAAAACTTGTGTGGGGTACTAAGCTATAACCATCGTTTTATCTTGAAATCCACTTTCAGTATTTGATGCTCACATCTGAAACAAATGGTTTAATTGCAGCCAATGAATTGCAAATGTATATGCTTTTAGTAGTGTTTACTATAGACATTAGTTTTAGCATCAGTGTGCAAAATAACTTTTTTTATGTTGCCAATTTTAGCGAGGCACTTTAAAGTGGTTCTGTCAATGTTTTCAGTTTAGCTATGCCAAAATATGTTTATGCTACTGCATTGTATACTTTCAGCAGACTGTCTGCTTATGTTTTTTTATTTTAATGCCAATTTTGGGCCTTTGATACTCCAAATCATTGATTTGAAATATTTGCCCCATCAATGTTTAGACCGGACTGAAGAACTGATTTTCATTTTCAATTTGCTTTGAGAACATTAAAAAATGCTTTCTTTAATTCAGTTGGCTTGCTGAATACTCATGGAAGTAAAAATTCAGTGAGTGCAATTTTGATTGGGTAGCTGGTTTTTTTTATTGACCGTACATATGTATTCTCAGAACTCTCATGTTTAAGATTAAATCAAATGAATATCTCTAACTTAAAGGCGAGAGCTCTTAGCAAAATCAAACTAATGGAACCAGGTATTTTTAGCACATAGCAGCCCAGTTTTACTAAATCTAGTACTGTAGACAAAAGTTGGAAAAGCCTACAATTTAATGTGGAAATATACCCAAAATGGGCGAATTTGAGAAAAACAGAAAGGACATACAGGTGGTTAAATCTGGCCGTCTTCAAAAGTTGAATGGTCTTTGGGATTGTTGGAATTTATATTTTAGATCTAACTTGATTTCAATAAGCCTGAAAAATAATAACCACAATTGCCATCAGGACTGTCAATAGATGGCGAAAAATTCAATTGGTTTAATTGTTTACTTTAAAGAGATCGTGTCTCCTCAAAACACAATTAGAGTAACCCCTTGATTTTTTCGTGTTATTTGATGTAAAACAAGTGTGTTTATCAACTTATCAATTCTCAGGTTTGAATTAATTCGTTAACAGTATCAATTCGATGATTGTTCCTAGCCATGAATTTCCACTTACATCAATAGAAATTCAAATTTAAAAAGCCCGCTCAAATTTGTTCCAGTCTGATTTGCTTTTTCCTTCAGATTATTTTGGCTTAGAGAAGCCATATTTATTACTTCTAAGGGGTTACAATATAGATAAATCCCCAAAAAACATTGTATTCTGTTTTCGACTTATTGCGTTCAATTCTGACAGTTGGTTGTTCTTTTGGTTGTCCTGTTGATATCCTCAATATATTGTCGTTATCATGCTTATGATTTGGTCTCAAGATATATCTAAGGTATATATGATGTTTTATGAGCAATTATATTGGGACATTACTGATTGTCCAGAATAGAAATCTGGACAATTCGATCTTTTTAACATGAAAAATTGCTCCAAGATTCTCCGAAGATAAATTTTATTGGAAATATCCAAAACCTTTTGATACAAAGATTTTGAACTTTTCTGAAAAGGATCAGGCTAAATCTTCATTGACACATTGTTAAAAAATCTTTAAAATTTCTTTTTTTTAAAATCACAAGTTTAAGGTAAAATTGCAATTCACAGATCACCAGTATCATCTAGTTTTATGATTTACATTAATCCATTTTAAATATTCGATAAATCAAGGAAGTATGTATATTTTTCAATTCTTTTCAATATTATATTCCCCTACCAAAACCCAACCAAACGTGTCACCTATTTATCCATTTTTGTAATAAATGTTTAATTGATCGAGTCTTGCACTTAAATCTTTAGTAAAATATAGAGGGCTCTCAATTAAAATTTTTATGTTACATTTTCACATTGAGAAATATGTTGTTTCAAATTCCTTGAAATATTTTATAGTTGCTCAAACTATTCTACATAAACAGGACATCTGTAACAACTACAATTCTGTTCAATACTAAAAGAAATTCAAATTATTAGTCATTTAAGTTCAGCAAAAATATTATTAATTTAGCCACAATAAAGTACAGTAATTCAGAACTCAAAAATGACTATTGTTATATATAATAATGGAGTTTATATAATGCTTTTAGTAGTTGACCTTATTTTTTTCTCTATAAAACATCACTTCATTACAAGTATCCACAACCCTTGCAGTTCAAAAATATTCACACATAATAAATACAAACTTGTGAGTTTATCACATTTCATTAATTATTAATTATTTATAGATTTAATAAGCAATTGATTAACTGCATTATTGGGTTCCCAGTGGATAAAGTTATTATGTCTGATATAATAGTTGTTAACTTTAACACTTCAACTCTTACATGTACACTCCCCTCCATAAGTTTGGCAACTTGAGGTTTTCATTTGATAGCATATCAAAGCCGAAGCCTGTTAACGTGTATTCTTAATTTTGTTTCTTAATTATAACTGTTCAGAAATTGAAGTCAAATTTGTTGATTTTTTAAAATACCAAACAAAAGCTTTAATTAGTGATCAAAAATGGGACTTCCAATTGCCAAACTTATGCTGAGGAGTGTATATTCAAGCTGTTAACGGTCTCCTATTAACCAAACAGACCTTATTCAAATTGAAACCCCCTTTTAAATGAGCACTATTAATCAAATAGACTTGATGTTGTTAAGAACGCTACATTTCTAGTGACCTTTTTCTAACTGTGATATTCGATCCATCAACGATATTCTACTACACCTGTTATTCAGTGTTAACAATGCAGAGTATTTTTAACAGCATAATTGACAGCACAGTTTGAATTAATCAGCAGGTATATAGATCCAGGTAAGCCACTAGTCAAAGCTTATAGATTATCGATTTAAATCTAAAGATTGCTTTTCTGTTCTTCAAATAGGCTTATGCAGATTGACAATACGCTATTGTGACCTTTAACTGTATAAACAGATATGAATAAAATGTACGTTAGAATTTAAATACGCTAGGAGCAGTTAGCGTAAAGTATAGTAAAAATTTTCCAAGTAATTTTGAATGAGATGGTGGAGTTAATTTAGCAGAACAGGCCCAGTTTAAAGCCCCGCACTTGGCTATTTTGCACTCAGAAGAATAAGTTATATATCAGGCTTCATTAGGCCGAGGAGCAATTTTTGGCTTTATTTTGGACAAGGAGCACTTTTAGGCTTTATTTAGCCAATAAGCAACAGTTCGTAGGCATTATTTGGCTAAGGGAGAAAAGTGAAGGCTAAGGTAGAAAAAGTGAAGGCTTTACCCTCATTGAGTCAAGAAACAGTAAATTCAGGCTATATGTATGACAGCGTAGGACTAAACTCTTTACAAGGAGTTAAAGTTTCTGTAGAAAGGTAGAGACATCTATGCAGAAACAGAATCATCATGTCTACGAGGAGGTCAAGAAGCAAATCAAGAAGTTCTAGGGTAGGTTTCTTTGATGCTTGTTTGGCTTGAAGTTGTTTGGATATATTTGAATCTAACTACAGGCCTTCGTACCTCCCCCACTAACACACCTCCTCTGTGTGAGAAGTTTTCATACCTGTCAAGTCAAGTAGTGGGAGTGGGGAGCATGGCTTAAAGTCTTCAGGAATTTCAGGAAATTTCAGGAAAAAATTGACCAAAATCTGACCCCATTGAGTTCAATACAAATCTGGATTTTTTTTTTGGGGGGGGGGGTAGGGGTCAAGCAAGGGATTCAAAATAAAGGTCATATTTGTTTAATTTTTTCCTATGAAAAAACTTTTTCTTCCAAATTTGAAAGCATATGTATTTGTGTCTACATAACTCGATAAAGCACTCAATCAAATCTCATTTTTCCAAAGTTTCATAGAAGGAGGACCTGCCAAAACCAACCCCTCGCTTGGCCCGCGTCTTTCGCCATACAATTTTCAGGAAATTTGAAATTTGTTGCTTTAAGCCATGGGGGAGGCGTCACAATCGAGTCGAGTAGAGGGGTTCAATTAGAAAATATGCATTTTCTTGGCAACATTTTTCAACTTGTCTGCAACTTTATAATTTACATTGATTCACATTTCACATTTCTCAATAAATTAATGAATCAATTTAAGTTATGCAAGGGAAAATTCAATACCCTGGAAAGTCGCTTGCGTCGTTGCGTTTCGTTCAGTGGATAAGCTGTGGCCACACGCCCATATCTGATTATCCAATTATCTGATTACGGATCATTTAATGACCAAAAACACAACATTTGCATTAGAAAATAACTTTAAAGCTATGGCACTGATACCCCATACGTTTGTACGGGTAATTGTGCAGTATTAATCCACCATATAATACATAGACAGAGTATTTTAGGTTAACATGCAATGCTAACATATACACTGATATTGCCTTGTATTTGTGTAACAGATCATCTTATTAAACAGAAATGTTATACATGCACTCAATTCTTGTATTGAATCTCTGATTTTATATATGATTTGTGCCCCACTATGGTTGCAGTGATCTCCCCATGTCACTTTTACCGGGGGCTCCCCCTACTTGAAACCAAAGGCCCCCCAGTTGGCACCCAGTTGGAATCTGCACTTCAACTTCTGATTTGAAAAATGAGTGAAGTAAGCACCTACACTGAGATATTGTGAGCGTAGCGAGTGCTGATTTTTTCAGACTTGAAATCTTGCACCCAGTTGAAAATTTTTTTTGGGGAGAACACTGGGTTGTGTTTGGTAGAGAAGGGCTTGTATTCCAATATGGTTTTGTGTGGGAGAGAAGGGGTTGTATTCCAATATGGTTGTGTTTGGTAGAAAAGGCTTGTATTCAATTATGCTTGTGTTTGAAAGAGAAAGGCTTGTATTCCAATATGGTTGTGTGTGGTAGAGAAGGGCTTGTATTCAAATATGGTTGTGTTTGGAAGAGAAGGGCTTGTATTCTAATATGGTTGTGTGTGGTAGAGAAGGGCTTGTATTCCAATATGGTTGTGTGTGGTAGAGAAGGGCTTGTATTACAATATGCTTGTGTTTGGAAGAGAAGGGCTTGTATTCTAATATGGTTGTGTGCGGTAGAGAAGGGCTTGTATTACAATATGGTTGTGTTTGGTACAAAAGGGCTTGTATTCCAGTATGGTTTTGTTTGGTAGAAAAGGGCTTGTATTCCAATGTGGTTGTGTGTGGTAGAGAAGGGCTTGTATTCCAATATGGTTGTGTTTGGTAGAATAGGGCTTGTATTCCAATATGGTTGTGTTTGGTAGAAAATGGCTTATTTCCAATATGGTTGTGTTTGGTAGAAAATGGCTTGTATTCCAATATGGTTGTGTTTGGAAGAGAAGGGCTTGTATTGCAATATGGTTGTGTTTGGAAGAGAAGGGCTTGTATTCCAATATGGTTGTGTTTGGAAGAGAAGGGCTTGTATTCCAATATGGTTGTGTTTGGTAGAAAATGGCTTGTATTCCAATATGGTTGTGTTTGGTAGAAAAGGGCTTGTATTCCAATATGGTTGTGTTTGGTAGAAAAGGGCTTGTATTCCAATATGGTTGTGTTTGGAAGAGAAGGGCTTGTATTTCAATATGGTTGTGTTTGGAAGAGAAGGGCTTGTATTCCAATATGGTTGTGTTTGGTAGAATAGGGCTTGTATTCCAATATGGTTGTGTTTGGTAGAAAAGGGCTTGCATTCCAATATGGTTGTATTTGGTAAAGAAGTGCTCTTATCCCAATATGGTTGTGTTTGGTAGAATAGGGCTTGTATTCCAATATGGTTGTGTTTGGTAGAATAGGGCTTGTATTACAATATGGTTGTGTTTAGTAGAAAAGGGCTTGTATTCCAATATGGTTGTGTTTGGTAGAATAGGGCTTGTATTCCAATATGGTTGTGTTTCGTAGAAAAGGGCTTGTATTCCAATATGGTTGTGTTTGGTAGAAAAGGGCTTGTATTCCAATATGGTTGTGTTTGGTAGAAAAGGGCTTGTATTCCAATATGGTTGTGTTTGGAAGAGAAGGGCTTGTATTTCAATATGTTTGTGTTTGGTAGAGAAGGGCTTTGTTTGTGTTTGAGGGAGAAGGGCATATATCACAATAGGATTGTGTTTGATGAAAGGTATCGGTGGTCTTAGAAAAACAGGGGTGGTTTGAGAAAGGTATGGATGATATTCAGGGAAGATTAGCAGCCATTATTCAAACTTGATTCTCCGTTGCCTGCAGTTGAACAATTTAGTAAAATTATTTCTTCAAGGTTCTCTTTGGACCAAACATTTTGTTGAAAGATGGTCATTACAAATAATCTTTGGTAGTATTCAAACTTCCATGGAACAGTTCTTGTCTTCAAAATACAAGATCACTAAATTCTGGGAATTTGTGTGTCATATCATTATTTTTCTACCAAATTACTTGGGGAAATTTAATTATAAGTTGGATAAAACAGTCTCATTATAATATGACCCCCTGTGTGAGCATTATTGTTACCAAATGGTTCTACTCCTGAGTGGCAACGGAGTGTATAGTTTGAATGACAGCTTCCCATCCTCCTTGGATGGTATTTGAAAGGTAAAGTTGGTTCAAAAAAGTATGGGTGGTCTCAGAAAGCAATGGGTGATTTTAGGAAGGTTTCAGTGATCTAAGAAAATTATGGTTGGTTTGAGAAAGGCAACACTGATTTTAAAAATGGGTGATCGGTAAACAATTTTAGAGACCAATACAGTATTTTTTTTATGGAATGATATTCAATTGACTTTATTTTTTAAATTATAATACATTTCAAGACTTTTTACAATTTAAGTGTACAGTGTATAACAATTCTTCACATTGATCCTGTCCCTAGTATAAAGTCAATGCAGCGTTTTGTAACATGTTCATTATAATGCTCTGAATATCTACCGAAGTTTGATGCGATAGTAAAATGATTGGTCCCTTTGATGGTAAAATATTCATGCGAAACATCAAATTCATTGAACTTATCGCTCAAATCACTTGCATCTTTTTGTAGAAATGGAAATTCACTTTCAGCACAGAATAAGAGAAATTTAGGAATGCCGATGCCATTCATGGCTCGATTTTTCACATGGGTGAGAGGTGAAGATTTCTCCCATTCTGATTGGTCAGTTCCAAATCCTGGGATGATTATGAAGTGTTTTGCCATCCACGATGTTGCAATTCTTGGTACGGAGTATACCCCAGACATCGATATGATTCCCTGGAATATATACAATTTTAGGGTGAATAACACATGACATATGGAATATGAAAGATATGCATCAGTTAAGAAATAGCTATATGGAGTGTTTTCTGTTAAAATGAATTCTACAAAATGGTTCACATGATCATAGAATACATTCAAATATTATCATGAAGTTCTAAAGAAAACCATTATATTGATTGATTGCTTAATGATGGTTTCATTCAAATTGTTTTGTTGCAATTGTACCTTAATAACACTTGGGTGACATCCAGCATTCGTGAGATATGTGTTGTCAAGAGCAAGCAAAGTTGCTAAGTGTCCCCCTGCTGAGTGTCCTAGGAGGACTATGGATTCTGGGTCATATTGTCCCTGCCACTTTCTAGATTTGTGAAGCCAGGATATACAACGGGCCACAGATTTTACGGGTTGCGGGTGCTGCACTATGGGCACCTGAGTTTGAAGATATAGCAAACTCAATTGTGATGTCATAATGAGTATGATGCTGAATATCATCATCTGTTGCTGTGATGTCATGATGAATTGTGATGTCATGTAACTAATGAATGCAAGACACACCGGGAGAAAAATTGCAGCTTGTTTTGTCAAGTTGTAATTCTGAGAATTGAACATGATTACTATCCATATAAGGAGTTGCGTGATGGCTCCGTGCATACAGAGTATTGTGAGCAGTGGATTCAAATCGGTCCATGTAGTCTCTAAGAGGTAGTCTTGTAAATCAACCACTGTTGGACATCCCGAGATAGCCATTAATATTAATCCTAATATAAATACAGCACCAAACATGAGGTAATTTGTCAAAAATGACGTGACCAGCTCAGCTATGGTCCAGGGAAATTGCAATCGGCTAATTGGATAAGAAATAACTGCACATGGGATGCCATTTTCCGCAAGTGTTTTTCCGAAATTAGCGTAAAATCTGAAGATTAACTGATGTACAAGAGCCATAAAAATGTTAGTGTCATATCTTGATATGAAATATTTCCATGACGCGTGATGCCCTCTTCTCCAACCGCCGCCATGTATGAACACAACTAAAGGTGGCGCTTTTGTTGAGTGGCTCGATGACTTGTTTGAACCAACATCATTGTGAGAATTGTTATTATCTGGTTTTGAGTGGTGAGAATTATTGTCAAATATCTGTTCATTTGTGTTACCATGTATACTAGAGCTAGGATCATCCTGTAGTCTGCTTGTACCACCCTGTAACTTTAGATCATCCTCTAGAGCATTTCCAGATTTTCCTGGAATATAGAGGTCCAACTCTCTCTTGTTTAGTCCATCCTTATCTGTCCATATCCATGATTTGTCACTTTCCGGGGCCATATGGTTTGTTTCATCATCATATGTAAGACCGTGTACCACATGGACACTATGTTTCCCCTTCATAATCTTACATGCCTTGTCCTTATTCCTATGTTTTATATTTTTATTCATGCTTTGAGTTTGTTAAAGTTAATGCATGAATTAAATATGTTTTGGTATTTAAGTATCATTATGACATCATACAAAAGGCTCTCAAATCCAATCATGAAGATTGAAATCTTCACTTCTCCATACTTTCAAGTTTTGTGTGTGAGTTGTTTACTATAATGTATATACTTATGCTAGTACTTTATCAATACTGTTCCGCTGTAGTGTTATTTCTCCCTTATACACATTGCTCTAACAATATAGCACTTCAAGGTTAAATATTTTTTCACAATCTTTACTCTTTCATCACTTTAACGGGTCGCTGGATTTGTATCCTCTGTTTCTTAACACTTATTATAGCTCTCTGTCTCTTCAAGTTCACTTCATTCTTTTATATGGATATTTAATCACTTGCATGTCAGTATTTAACTTTACTGTTAAACTATCTGAGATAAAATGTCCTGTATCTATTGACTCTCGACTGCACCAAGGGTTATTTGTACACATATTTGGTTAACAGAATAACACCTTTATATTTATATCCTTTATATTTTGACTATTTCATTGGAAGAATCACTTTTGATTGAGTTTACAGTTTCTTAATGAAAAATAAGGGACAGTTCCATTGAGGTCCATTCACCATGTGGTTCAAATGAACAGCATATTTTTTTATCTTATTGTAGTACAATGATATTGTAAATTTCAACCTTTACACGTGTTCACTTGTGATAGGGAATTATCTCTCAGGTATTTACTGCAATCTGTTGTGCACACAGGCATATCTATATCATTTGTGTACCTATGACCTCCTTTTCAAATCATAAAGTTCTATTGTGCATGTATTTATGATACTCCCTTGTTGATGTTCAGTGGCAGCCTGCCAGTGTGCAGCATCATCAAACTTGAGGTCGATCCATTCCTGTTTTGTATTCATTCAGTGAAAATAGAACATATACCTGCCCTGTTTATTTTGCTTATGAAAAAATCGTTTAGCTATGGCTCTTTATTGATTCTTTCTTTCCTTATTGCATGCTCTATAGACTATCATAAATTCAATACGAAAATGTAGATGTTTTATAACAGCACTCTGTCGGAATATATTCTCTCTCAAGTGGTAAAGTATATGATTTTTTACTAGCAGATTTGTTAATACATTTCTTAGATTATTCTGTAAGGATTAGAACTGTGTATTTACTGTAATCCTTTTCTGTACTGTTGTCTGAATGATTAGAATTAGTTAATCTATTGGTATATCATGCTTGCCTACTCTCTGCTTCATCAAACTGCTATTTATTCATCAAGGATGTGTTAAACTAATATATTACTTTCATGCTTAGTGCAGTTAAACCTTGTTAATAAGTGAAACATCTTTTGCTTTGGTTCAGCTTAAATGTGTTAACTGTATTAATCAAAGAGGTTTAGTTAACCTTACAATAATGACTCATGAAACTGAAAAATGTTCTTAGCACTTCTACCAGAGGTAGGTTCAGTTGATATTAAATTGATGGGTCATGAGGCTGGGAAAAGTGTTCCACAAGCTCTTACAAAGGTGTTCCACGGAGGTGTTCCACTTACAAAGGTGTTCCACTTACAGAGGTGTTCCATTTACAAAGGTGTTCCACTTATAAAGGTGTTCCACTTACAGAGATGTTTAAGTCACAGGGTCATGAAACTGGGAAAAGTGTTACACCAGATCTTACAAAGGTGTTCCACTTACACAGATGTTCCACTTACAGGAGTGTTCCACTTGACAAGTTTCACTTTATCATTGTTAACAACTAAATTCTTAACACATTATTCAAAAAATAATACTTGTAAGGAAGTGATGAAAGTGCACATGATCTTAGGAGTTATTGTGACCTCTAACAATTTCACATTTAGTACTTTAGTCAGTGTTATTTCATATGCATGCATGTACTTAATACTACTTATGTCTTTATTATCCTAAAACAAAAAAAGTCCAATGTAAAATAACAGGATATTAAAGTTCCACAATATTTTGTCATATATAATATAATATTAGATATGAAATATGAGTTTACAGTAAATTGATAAAGATTTGATATGATATCAGTTAAGATTAAATTTAATTCTGTCATTTTATATGTCAAGTGATTCAAGTTCATTGTACTTATAGACCACTTATATGTCGAACAGTCATTGTAACAATTCAAAAATTTGACCAGAGTGTCATCTTTAGACCAACATCGACCCAGGGTTTTAATTATTGGTGCAAATTGTGAGAAAAGATTTAGTTGACTCGACTTTGAATATACTGGATGTTGACTAAAAATGTGTTTTTTGATGTATTTATTTTTACAATACATGTGCAATGTATTAGAAACAGTACAGAGCTCCTCTTATATCAGAATTTTGAGATTCAGCACCTCCAATAATTCTAGGTACATTCAATGAAGATATTTTGTCCAAAATTGCAAAAACCTACAATGTTGCGTTTAAAATTACAAATTAAGCAATTTCACCTCCAACAAAAACATTTTAGGAGAGCAGGAGCAGTGTAGCATTTGCAGTAGATGTTATTGTAATGTCACCACCACAAGTGGTGTCATATTATAGTCTCCAAATTTTTTTGTGGACAGTATTTGGCATTTGATGACTGGTGTTTGGCATTTGGCAGTTAGTGTTCGATGGTTGGTGTCTGTAACAAATAGCTGGTATTAACATTTTGCTTGTTAATACCTTGTATAGTTTTGTTATTCATCATCAAAACTAGCTTGGGCCATATACCCCACCTGCACGTCACAGGCCAGATGAGAAGCGCTTCATAGCCCTGGAGCTGTGTTAAAGCCTGAATATTTGCAATTAAAATTTGATAAACAATAACAACATTCTTTTAAAAAAAGAACATCTGTTAAAGTTACATTACTTCAACAAAAAAAACTAGTGGAACAACTCCACTTTGCAAATTATCAGGAAATGATTTTATCAATTTTCTCATCAGCATGCTTCAAATTTATTTAATGATTATTTGCAATGATAACTGTGTTCCAATTATCCTCCATTGGTTACTTTTAGCTTGTAGTTTCATAGAAATCGACTTTTCTCATAATTTCCAATACATCATTGTTTTTAGTAAGAATCGTAATGTTCCCAATAATTTTCTATTTGAGTACCAAATATACTATACATGTACATGTTTAATACAGAGCATTTGTGGCATTCATTATAGTGTTTTGGGTTCGTGCTTAACATTCCCTGGCTGGATCCAATCTATCTCTCTCTGTTTGACAATGCAGCTAAAGAATGAAACCAAAAGGCAAAATTATTAGAATTTATAATTTTAAACATGGAAATGTCACAAATCCTCAAACCAATGGATTAACCAACTAGAAAAATAACCGATTAAATAACCGATTAAAATCGTGACAATACATCTGAAATAACACCATGGAAATACCGAAAATAAAAGGCAAAGTTATTGGAATTTATAAGCAAAATTCCTAAAAAAATCTGGTGCTTTTGGGTTAAAAACTGGAAAAAATTAACCCCATGTTAATTAACCCATGTATTATGTTTTGCAGGTTGAGGCCAGGGATGCTGAAGTTGACAGACTAGGAAGGATGTTGGACGGGGGTCGACCCTACGATGTTGTTGCCCTTGAGGCCAGAAACAGAGCCAATGAACGCCTTATATCTCAACTCAATATACAGGTAGGTCATGTCAATAAATGTTTTTCATCTCATGATACATATATTTGAATTCAATATATACTGGTATGTCAACTCAATATTCTTATTTGTGTAATTTCCTGTAAGAAGAATTTTGATTTACGCCTGAGTCACATGTGCTCTGATTCATCGGCCTTCGATACTAAATACTCAATCGGGTGGGCGACAGTTATTTTCTTGTATTCAATTTTCAAGTTTCCTGAACAGTCAATATGGCATTACGAAAATGGGTCTTCTGCGCATGTTAGAATTTTTCTTCAAACTCAACTTTTGTTCAAGTTGATACAATTGTCTTCCGAACTAGAGACTTAATTTTTCGAAAGATCTCAAAATGGTTTATCTATACTGAAAATCTTAGATCCCAGAACGGATCATACGCTTTTGATTTTTTGAAGTGAGTTTCTATTGATCGGCAGATTTCTCTGACTGTTATTGGGTATTCCCAATTGGTTCGTTTCTAAGTACGAATATCTGCACTCTTATAACATCGGAACGACTGCCATATTTGAAATGAAAATATCACTAAATAGAGCTTTGCGCATTTCAGAATAAATGGACTGTGAAAATGACTACATCCCCACTTACATGTTGTTCAAAAATTTTCATCTTTGAAATATATTGTAGCTCCTGATGATTTTAATCCTAAAATCACTGTGACATAGCATTAAATTGAAGAACAGACCCATTAGATTAACACAAGGGAAAATGTAATGTTCTACAGTAGCACAGATTTAGAAGAATGGCCTTTCATTTTAATTATTTATAATTTGTGCCGCATGGTCCAGTATGATATTTTCACATGAATACACAAAGGTAGTAGAAAATTATTAATTTATGAGGTTGTGGCAAAACATGTAATATCTTTGGCTAGAGGTTAGTGTGTCAAGGCTTTGACTTTGTTATTTGCAATGGTTGGGAAGCAATGGCGTACCTTTGGTACTTTGGAGCAAAACAAATTGTAAGTAATTTGATGAAAAGTGTTTGCTCTTTTTTTTAATTAGAAAATAATTGATATTTAATAGCGAAACTACCTGTTAATTAGCATTAGTTTTGCATTCATTTAAACAAATGAAATTGCCAAATTGAATGATATTAATGATGTTAATCAGGCTTTAAGGAAATTCAGGCAAAAAATGGAGTTACAATTAAAACACTCAATTGGTTGTAGGTCAGTCAGTAAGCTTTGGTTAAATTTTCCTCATTTAAAATAATTTAGAATCACAATGTGTAATTGATTTTGTTACAAGTATTAATTTTCCCCCTTTAAAATAAGGCAGTGATCTGACCCGGGTGCACCCCAGTTGTCCGAAACCCAGTTGTCTGAAACCCAGTTGTCCGAAACCCAGTTGTCCGAAACCCAGTTGTCCGAAACCCAGTTGTCCGAAACCCAGTTGTCCGAAACCCAGTTCTCCGAAACCCAGTTGTCCGAAACCCAGTTGTCCGAAACCCAGTTTTCCGAAACCCAGTTTTCCGAAACCCAGTTCTACGAAACCCAGTTCTCTGAAAAATTTAGTCATAATTTACCAGATAAAGGGGGACGCACCTCAGGCCAGTTTCATGTCATTTATTTGGCAAAATTAATGGCATGGACGCATTCTGATGTATAGATCTCGCTCTCACTTTGAATTGCATCCATTACACGGCGTTATCAGAATGACAGGAACGGGGGATTTATTTTACATTGTGATTCTAAAAAAGCTCATCAAAACACAATATATATTACGGAACAGTTGATCTTATCTTATTCAATATATTTTATATAGGCAAAATAAAATGAAACATTTTGAAACCGATAAAATAAGTTAACGCATAAAACTTTAGGAATAAACAGTACACATATTACGTTGTCAAAATGTTTCGTCGCATTTAATTTCTTAGTCTCTGTCTCTTATCAAATCGTAAAATGTAAAAGAACAAAACATTCTAAACTTAATCACTTGGGATTAACTGGAAACGAAGACAGGCTGTCCTCGTATCAAATTGGATGTTCTCCCATTCGCAAGAAGTTTCATTTTCGCCATGTACTCACTTCATCTTTTTGAATTTAATCTCTATTTCTCGAACAGAGTACCTAAAATGAAGAATACTTTTTGGTTTCAAAAGATGTACACGTCAACTTTACTAAATAAATGCCCACTGGCTTGGTAAAACTATTTCCCTTTTATGAACGCCCATCACACATTGGAAAAATGTTGTTCCCTCTCAAAAATCCCCATGGGGCATAAAGAAAATTGGTTTAAAAATTGTAGACCCCTATGTATGTTAATATGTAAACGCCACTTTGCAATGAGAATAGCATAATTTAACTTTGTTTATTTGAAGATCTGTATCACCTGTATTTTCGTCTTTCGACAGTTTTTATTAGGCTAAATACTGGCCCATGGAGGAATCGTTCAGTTGATATTTACTCTCAAATACACCCTTTACCAATGAAAGAGTGCTCGTTCATAGAGCTGGATGGATTGGAGTGAAATATGTCAAGTGGAACATTTCAGAGTGCCAAGACCAACTCATTAATGTTAAATGGACCTCTCTCACTACGCTTGCCTTGGGGCCTCCGTACGGCGTATCCAGTTTTTTACACGCCACATGGTCGCGGTATAGAAATTATAACTCGGAGTTATAATATTTGTTCATTTCTGAGGTCCCGTAGAAATCAACTGGCTCAACAAGATTGAATCATTATTTGTCAATGTTTCACGATCACTTTTCCTAGCACTATGAATAACATTTATAAATTGCCCTGATGTAAATAAAATGAAAAAAAGTATTATTTATCAACAGAAATTTAAATTCACCGTGCGGCTGCCTTGGGAAATGTGACTGTAAAAGTATGAGAGCGCAGAAATTCTACGGCGAGCGTGGAAAAGCTATTGGCCGTAGAAATGATAGACCGCACGGTGGCCGTTGGAAATGTGACTGGGGTGTAATTCCCACAAATTGGGGACACATATGCAATCCACGTTATTCTTCAGGGACAGAAAATGCAACCAATGATAAAATAAAAAATTGCATTTTGAATCCGACTGAGTCCTATTGATCCTCATAAATTACCCCCTCCTCATACCAATTAAAATGTGCCCATCGTGCGCCTAATGCTAATGGCGCTGTCACACTGGTCGTGTCCCGTACCGTCTCTCAACGTACAAAGCATTCAGGCCAAAATTTAAGGAATTAAGCTAGAGTGAGCTGTTTCAGAACGCCGTCTGAAACGCGTTCTGATTCTGAACCCACTGTATGCATTGGACGGTGGGAGGTCGTCCCTGCTTACACTTTCAGTATCTGACCCTATTATCACACCAAACTAGTTCTCACTACGCTCTCGAGAACGGGCTTAAACTGTATGGACGGATTGGAAGTACTTAGAACCGTTTGGGGTCTACTTGCCTACTCGAAAGGGTAGTTCCAAAATTTCCACGTGGTCATCACTTTCTGCAATCACGCGGTCTTCGACCGTTAATTGGAATTTTTGACCTGCCAGATGCTTGAAAATCAAGGATTGCGAGTCTCATATTGCACCGTTTTTCTTCCATTATACCATTAAAAGCAAAACAAAGTTGCCTTTCTGTCGGTGCATTACTTTATTGTAAAGAGTTTCTCGTTCTAGCAGCGTTTTGGTCCCCACTCCCCAGCTGTTAGAAGGCCTTCTTACAGCTTGGGACCAAAATTACGCTGGAAGTAGGAACTCTGTTTAAGATGATAACGTACCATCAGAAAGAGATTTTTGTCATGCTTTGAATGGAACAAGTTTGAAGAAAAACGGTGCAGTATGAGACTCGTAATCCTTGATTTTCAAATATCCGGTAGGTCAAAAATTCAAATTAACGGTCGAAGTTAGGACCGCGTGGCAATTATATCGAGTGACAACGTACTAACGACGAACAGGATGTGGGGCAAAGGTTGAACTGTCTCAGAATGTATTGGGAACGAGGTAGAAATAAAGAATTCATATGAACGAGTCATGCAAGATACTAAAGAGATACAAATGCATTTTGATACTCAGTTTTTGGGCAATTAAAACTCCCTGTCTGCATTGAGAAGTTATTTATTGTCCGGTGTATAATTTTGAAACATTATCCTAATTTTTCACAAAACTTTTTTTTGATTCTGCAATAATGGTTGACATCTATGGCACACTAAAAACGAATTTTTTTATGCAGGGTACGTACATGATACAGATCAAATCTTGGCTCTACTACAAACTATTACACACTTACTTCAACAGTTCAATATATCGCAAAACACAGTTTTGATTTTGAACAATATCACCAATGGGAGAAATTCTTAAATCTAAATGTTTGGAAAGGAATACGTTTCTACTAAAACATACAAGCCTCTTATATTATGATGAAAAAAGGATAGACATCTGATATGTATATATGCCACATATATAAGTTATACGAAATGAGCATATTTTATTGATTTATCGAAAATTTGGACGAAATCTTAACAATGGGTGGTACTGAACAACCAAAATCTTCTTTTTAGATATTTTTCAGGGTAGAAATATTATCAATTGATATTGGAATACATAATTAACCATATATATTATTGAGAAAAGGGAATGAAAAAAATTATCAAATTAATATTATATAATTGTCACGGACGTCCATACGTTATTCTAATGAGATAGATATTCCTTTCGCCAGAATATTCTCTTCGACTGTGATAATTGTCTAAAATGTTGGCGGCAGTCTTGAATTTTCACCAAGAAGGAGTGCGATTCGTGCTGGACAATGCGGTTCAAAATTTGTAGAATGTCCATATAAGTCTATGTGCCGAGAATCTAGTAAGAATATATATATGATCGTGAACTTTCGGACCCATTATTGACCGGGCTAACCGGAACTGGGTTTCGGACAACTGGGTTTCGGACAACTGGGTTTCGGACAACTGGGTTTCGGACAACTGGGTTTCGGACAACTGGGTTGACCCCATCTGACCCCAGCTTTAAATCAAGTGGACACAGCACCCACCTGAGATTTTAAAAACAGGCTAGGACCCACCTGAAAATCTATTTGCTCCCACCTGAAAATGAGAAAAATAATGTAAACAGGCATATTTTGACCAATTTTGGTCTGAATTGTAAAAATGAGTAGTTGTCACCCACTTGAGAAAAAATCATGTGAGAACACTTAAAGGGATAAAATTTTACCTAATCCCACAGAAACTGATCATTTTCTAAGATGCCACAAATTAACTGTCCATTTTCTAAGATAGTGCCAAGCAAACCAAGAAGAATGCTCAGATATGAGCTAATTGAGAGAGCAGCTCAGTTACAAGCTTGACAAAATCCTAATGGTTTTCTGGGTTGTATCAGGAACTTTATATGACACAGATAATCATTTTCCAATAGTTCAACATAAAAATATGAACATTGTATTGATCAGACCAAGTTTTTCTCCTGTATATTGTTACCACAATCAGTACAAAAGATATTGATAAATTCTATTCTATGATTCATAATTCCATACATTCCAGATTGACTACCTCCAACAAAAGAACAGGGAGGTCGAACATCGTCTCTCGGAAGCAGAAATTTATGAAAGAGAGGCTTTAGACAAATCGGTGAACTTTGAATCGAAGGCTCGGCAGTTAGAGGATGAACTACAGGATGTAGACTTATTAGCATCGAGGTTAAAAACAGATAAAAATGCAGCTTTACGAGTGGCTGATCATGAATTGGATGAAGCTAAGGTGAGATTATCGTCAGCTCAAGGGACATTTATGGTCTTAAAAGTTGATTGTTTCGATAATAGTAATTAAATATTTCTGACCATTTATATAGGAATAATACACCAATGCAGTATATCATGTCAACTATTGGTCATATAAAGTCATTCTTAGCAGAATTCAGGGCAGAATTTAGAATCAACTTACTGCTAATTTTCAAAAACTTTTTTTCAATTCTATATATGAGAAAATCAAGGCATTATGAATATAGTAAACATATTACATGTTTACTTGTTTCACCAAAACGGGTCAGAATTTATTGGAAAAAGTCTGTTCGTCTTATTTTAGACACATCTCCAAAACATCTTCTCAACATCTTTAGTTTCCTTAGGAGAAAAACTTCAACATTCAAAATTCAACATGCAATATTCTTATTTTGTCTTGTCTAGCTTGAGTAAGACCAGTGCATAATTGTAGTATGTTTCATATGCCTCATATTGTTGTTGTGTTATTGTATTTAGGTTGAGCTTGAGAAGTCCAGACAAGAACTTGAAGATATGGATGTCCAGGTTGCACAACTCAGAGCTGTGAGTACCAGCTTATATACCCTTTGGAAAACTACACTATGAATAAGGCAGAATTCTTTGCTCTTAAGCCTATATATCAAATCAGAATATATATAGTTGAAAATCATGACAAAAGGTTATGAATTTGCAGGTTCATTTGATATTGTTAAAATCTCGGCATCAAAACTGTTAAAGCATACTGTTAAATAGTAAATACAGTACTTTGAACATGTATATCTGGTTCTGGATAATACTCTAGGTACACTGTACATGGGTATACTATACTTACTGAGGTTCTATTTACATAATAACATGTGGAAATATACGGCATAACCTGTCCTAATGAACAACTCTCTCTTATGGACACCTGTCTCTAGTGGACACCCTTCCTCTGCACACACTCTACTGACTTCTGTATAAATAACCCTCTCTGTAGTGAACATCAACAACACTGAAAGTTGTTTCTCTGCAAGAAATGTTCAATATAATTATACAGAATTTACTAGGGAATGGGATGGATATTATATCTGTACCTATATGGGGTACTTCCTCAGGAAATATGTGCACCTCAACCGGCATAAACCTTATATCCAGACCCTCTCAGTGCATAACCCTTATATATCTGTGTATTACAGGAAAGAGACAGGTTATTGAATGAACAAATAGATCTGAAGTCAAATCTCAATACTAAAACAGCAGACAATCAACGTATGGATGACCTGGTGGATAAAATGCAAGCAGACAAGAAAAGACTCAGCAGTCGTGTAAATAAACTAACATCAAATGGTAAGCAGCTTTGTATTAAAATGTCATCTGTTAAGAGTGGGGTTTACTTCATTTAGAGGAAGTGTCACTCTTTATTTTTTGTGACGGAAATTCCCTACAAAACTTTGCTTATCAAACATATTTTGTTCCTGATATTTGAAGAAATTTTTTGAGAAACAATGAAACGTCAGTAAAGCAAATTAGAAGGTGGTTTCATATTACTTCAGAAGTTGATTTTGAACTGTGAAGTACAGACATGGCTTTAAAATCACCAAAAAGTCTTGTGACATTCTGCATTTCCTCCAAGTTTAAGATTATGAACTTTTATTGTGTCACCACCAGAAGAGGTGACATTTTTGTTATCTTCTTCAGCTTTTTTTCTGAAAATAAAATTTTATTTTTTATTATTTTATAGAAAGAGAACTTGTTCTAGAAATAGAGCGACTCAAAAATAAAGCAGCGCCTAAAAGGAAAGGTGGAAAATCAATCAATAGACTAGATTCGTTTATAAAAGGCTTAGAAGAAGAAAGAGACTATTGGCGTGAAGAGGTTGATGCTTTACAAAAATTACTACGCCTTCATGGGCCAGGAAGTAGTCCCATGAGGTCAAGGTCACCAAGTCGCTCAAAGGTTTCCACGCCAGCAGGAACTCCTAGTAAATCTGAAAGAAAGGTGAATCTATATATATTTTTTTTTAATTATGAATAATCAATATTTAATACATTGTAGAATTCTAAAAACAGCGCACAGAATTGTTTCACTGGCACTCTCTTATATTCATAAAAGTTATTTTGACACATAAAACATAAACACCTGCTTTTGACTCTTTCCTCTCTAAAACTTAACTCACATATTATAAAGAATTTATCATTTTGATTGAACTTCTATGCATAAATCTGGTGAATGTGATACAGATTTTAGATACATTGAGCTAAAAAAGTTGTGCGAAAGCTCTGTAATATCACCACCATGATTATCATAGTTCTGTTTATTTTTGGGGAGAATCTTATTATTTTCATCAAGTTTAAGACACGTTCCCAAGTTCCTATGTGGGTGCAGATAGGAGCAAATTAGAATATTGTATTTAACGATCTAAAAGCCTTGTAGTCAAACTTCAGTCAGTAAATTTGAAGTTTCTGTCTTCTTATTCCAGACTGCTGCTCATTACGAGACAATCATGCGAGTGTTAGAGGATGAACGTGATCACTACAAACGTGAATATGAACTACTTCGTGCACTCAGACACAGTAGGCCAAATAGTCCAGTCAGGTCAAGGTCACCAAGTCTCAGGGAAATGGTAAGTTTGACAATTGCATTAGTCGGTTTATGATAAAACATGAAAAAGTACACATTTAAAATTGATTTTTTTAGGATTTAAATCGACATATGGGAAATGAGAAAACTGTTTTTGAAATTTCAGATATTGTTTTAAGTTTCTCTTTAGATTATGTTATAAGATTAAGACTTTGATATTTGCAAGTGAAAATTGCTTGCTAAATAAACATTTTATGTGATTACATATGGAAGTAAAAAAAACATGATCAAATGAAAAAAGTTACAAGTAAGGTAATTGCTTTGCATTCTCCGAACTCAGGGCTCCAGAAAGAGGAATAAACAGAGTTAATGATGTCTTGAACCCTTCATTTGGAGTATGGTTGCTTTGTATGTTTCATATTCTGTTCCAGAGTGTTGCTGATGAAACAGAACTGTTGCGTGTTACACGAGAGCGTGATGAACTTCAGAGTATGCTGAGCAAATTTGAACGCCACATGGCAGAGGTAAGATAACTTTGGTGTCCAATTGTTAACAGTTGTGAAAAACATATTTTGATTTTCTGAAGAGGAGCGAGTAAATGATGATTTCTTACGTAGAGAGGTGCAGCTTTTTTAAGTTATCACGAAAAAGGCTAATCAACATTTTAAATTTTGAAATGGGGAGGGAATCATGTTTGATAATAACAGAAAAAGGTTCATATTTGAGTCTATCCATTGTGTAAGTTACATATTACAGCTATAACCCTTTAAGAGATAGATATATCATAGTGGTACTTCTCATTAATTTGAAATGTTTATTTGTCCAGATCCAGACCAATGTAAAGGTGCTAACAAATGAAAGAGACAAAGTCAATACAATGTATGAAGAGGTATGTAGAAAGAGGTTATCCTCTGAGAAGTTCAGGATATTGGAATTATCCAGAGGCAGCTGTGATCAGTATCCACTTATTAATATTTTTGTTTATTTGTATAAAAGCTTCAGAAATAAGAATCCTTGTCATATTGAAAATGTGCATTGTTTCATCCCATATGTTTGTCTAAAATTCATAACTACTTGATGCACCTCAACAAATTGTAATTATTGTAAATTTTAAACTTCAAGTACTTAAGTATGCATCATTGTATAATAATGTATATTAATTGATTAAAATTGATCCAACAGGCCAAATTAGAGTTGCAAAGAATGCGCAGGGATGTTGTCAGGTCGCCAAAGTCTCCCAAAGTTTCATTGGCAGCTCAGGCAGTATTACGACGTGTTGAACATGAGCGAGATGACGCAATAGCTGACCTGCGACGTATGACAACAGAACGCGACACACTCAGGGAAAAATTAAAGGTAAAATATTTTTGTCGATAATTTCAGAATTTTTTTGATCGCATGATAAATGAGCCAACTTTACAATATATTGAAGTTCAATTCAATTCAATTATTTATTTCATAATTCTTATATAATATACACTATAAAAACAAGCCGCTAGACACCCTAGTGGGTATATGTTGCGGTTTAACAGAAATCATTAAAATGACAACTAGACTACATATAGAAAACACTTATATTATGTTACATGTAGGTATATAAAAATGGTATTAACAATTAATCTAAGGATGTACAATGTAAAAATGTTACAAAAATCGGGTACCAGTATAAAATCAACAGTATAGTATGATATTGGTATTATACATTATCAATAGATGAGTAGTTTTTTATATGAAGATTTGAAAATATTTAGAGTGGAGCATTTTTTAATATCATGTGGTAGAGCATTCCAAAGATTAGGACCCAGATAGCGAAGGGAAAGTTTAGAGCATTTAGGGATATGAATATTAATGTTGATATCAAACAAGTCTTGAAATAGATTTTTTGGAAGACTGGGGTGCTTATTAAAGATTTTGTACATGAACTGACCAGTACAATATCTGTTGACATCAAAAATATTTAATATTCTAAGATCTTTAAATAGGGGAGCGGAGTGAGAAAGTCTATCCTTATTTAAAGCTAGCCTTAAGAATTGTTTCTGCAGTTTATGTAGACGATCATAAAATGATTTAAATGTGTTACCCCAGATTATGTTGCAATAATTTAATTGAGAGTGTATCAATGAGTAGTAAATTGTTTTGAAACTGTCTATTTGAAGTAGATGTTTAATGTGATAAAGAGAACCAATGACGCGAGAAATCTTTGTTTCAACAGATTTTATGTGCTCTTTAAATTTCAAGTTTTTATCAATAATAATTCCAAGAAAGTCAATTTTTTCCCGGAAATTTATGTTCTCATTGCGTATTTTAAGATTCAGATTTGTTTGATTTTTTTGGGGTCCAAATAGAATAGCATTGGTTTTGCCAATATTAAGTGAAAGTTTGTTTGCTTTTATCCAGTCATCTATTGAATTCAAGTTTGCATTAGTTCTAGTCATGAGTTCATTTAAATCATAATCACTATCAAGAAGATTGGTGTCATCAGCAAACATAATAAATTTTAGATTAGGGGCAACAAAAGGCAGATCATTTATGTAAAGAATAAATAAAAGTGGTCCAAGTACCGAGCCCTGCGAAACACCACAATTTAGAGATGATTGTTTAGATTCATAATTGTTAATGGTGACATATTGTTTGCGGTCTTTTAAATAACTTTCAAACCAGGACTTAGCTATTCCTCTGATGCCATAATATTCAAGTTTTTGTATCAAAATGTCATGATTAATTGTGTCAAAGGCCTTGGAAAAATCTAATGTTATGCCAATGCTTGTTTTCCCCAAATCAGTTGATTTTCGAATTTGTTCAATGAAATATAAAATGGCCATGTAGGTAGAGTTGAATTTCTGAAATCCAAATTGATAAGTAAAAATAATTTCAAAACGTTCTAAAAAACCAGTGAGTTTGGCGTGCATGAGCTTTTCTAACAATTTAGAAAATACAGATAAAACTGAAATTGGTCTATAGTTCGAAGGATTTGTAGTGACACCTTTTTTAAATACAGGTGTTACTTTGGCCAATTTGAGGGCGTCTGGGAAAATACCAGATTTAAAAGATAAGTTAAATATATACAAGAGTGGATCAATTAAAAACTGTCTTGCAGACTTAATAAGTGATGGTAGAATCCCATCAGGTCCAGGCGAGGAAGATTTTAGAAGACACATTTCTAATTCAAGCTCAGTTTTTGAGGTCTTTTTGAGATAAATAGATGATTGAACTTTTTGAGCTCTAGCTAGGTATTCATTAAAGCATTTTTTGGAGTTTGGAATCTCCTTGGCTAGATTTTTACCAATATTGGTAAAAAAATTATTAAATCCATTGGAAATGATTTCATGATCTGTTGTTTCCTTTCCATTTATAGTGAATTTAGATGGCAATGCAGCTTTTTTGTTTTTTCCAAGTAGTTCATTAATGATAGACCAAGACTTTTTAATGTTACCACTTACTTCGGCAAACTTATTTTGATAATGTGTACGTTTTGAGTATTTAATTATTTGCTTAAGTTTATGGTTGAAGGACTTGTAAGCTTTTCCTGTTTTGCAACAGGGATTTTTCAAATATTTGGTATATAGCTTATTTTTAGTTTTGGCAGAAGTTAAGATGCCAGAAGTCAACCAGGGTCTATTAGGATCATGATTAACTTTGATAAATTTGGATTTGAGTGGAAATGAAGAATCATATTGTTCCATTAACAAGTTAATGAAGATATTAAATGCTATGTTTACATCTTGACTAGCTACTAGTCAAGGTCAGGAAATCTGGATTCCTATTTATGGGCTTTAGATCAAAGCACAATCGACGAGTCAATTTCTTGTGAAGAATACTCAGTAATTTAATTGTTTATTTCTAGATTGCAACAGAGAGCCATCTATCTGATAGAGCCAGACTAGAACAGAAAATAGAAGATCTCGAACGAACAATACAAGCTGTAAGTATATATAGATTCTGGAGAAAGTCTTTGTGATATATTTTTAAATGTCTGAATGAACAAGGGTCGATAAATAAAGTTTTTTACCCTTGGCTCTAGACTTTATAATAAGAAGAGTTGGATGTTCAAACTTTAACACATGTAGAGTAGTTAGTTTGCTTGAAACCCTGTGCTTGAAATGCTTACACCATTTTTTTTTTTTTTTGACCACCAATGAAGGTGAGCAATACCTCTTGGGTATATCCCGTATATATACGGTTGTAATTTACGTAATTAACCCAGAAACCCTCCTTGAAGGAGCCCTGTGTTCTTTTATGTGCACTTATACATAGACATACAAGTGCACACCACAGCCTTTTGTACGAGTTGCGGACCACTCAGTCACACACCCTGAAGTACTTCACGCAAACAAGCAAATTTATAATGTAGCAAATGATAGTTGGACATTTAACTTTATAAAATTTACTTAATTCATGTGGTATATGTGCTAGGTTGAGGCTGATATACAGATTGTAGTGTAAAATTGTAAAATAAGGTAGCAGTACTGTTAACAATTGCTATTGTTACTTATTGTGCCAAATACCCATAGGTTGAAGCTGAGCGAAATGATCTCAATATAAGAATAGCTGCTCTTAAAGACAAGGGAGACAGAATGGAGGACCACATAAAAGAACAAGTTATAACACTGGGAGAAACACAAGATGATGCATCTCAACAGAAAGCAGCTGCAACACAAATGAGGTAAAATTTCATGTTGCTGATATCTTCTCTGCATTTGGGGTTTGCTCTTGTTTAGAATTTCAAAATGAGTTTCCATGCAATTGAATATCTATTTGAAAGTCTTGAGGCATATGATTTTGATAGTCAATAGAGAAGGCCATAATTTTTTTGTTAGTCTGATAGAACAGCTCAATTTGGAATATATTTTTTGATTTCATATTCCTACATACTTTCTGTCTGATTCATTATGGTGACATATGTATACCAGTAATCAAAATCAAGTTTAGATTCGTTGAGAGTTAAACCTGTCGAATCCGAATGGCACTGAGACCAGTCAAAAGTATTATATTAAGCATGTGCTCATATTTCAAGGTTTACTAATATGTGAATCAATTTAAAATTAGGACAGAGGTGTTACTGAACTAACCCAAATAAATGATTGCTGTATTAGGTTACTAGCAGAACAAGCTGAGACATCACTTATGGACAACCGTAGACAACTTATAGCCAAAGAGGGAGATCTGAGGGCTGTTGAAGAGAGAGCAGCACAATTGGAGGTCAGACTAGCCGAACTTATGCGTCATGGTAAGGTCAAAGATGATGAGATTGCTACGCTACGTGGGACGATAAGTGCACTTGATCGTGAAAAGGATGCTCTACAGATTGCAGTTGATGATAAGGCTGAGAGGAATGTTGATTTGGAGGACACTGTATTAGAGAGGGTGAGTGAGATATACTCATTAGGAGGGCATATAACAATGAAGTAGATTCTTGTAATTATTTCAGTTGGATTTTTTACTGAAATGTTATCTTATTATGGTTACTTCAAATTCTGAATGGTTTTTAGTCATGTTGTGTTATATTATTTTATTCCTAAACATGTTTAATTAAAGTAACATTTCAGAGTTCTATATATAGGATCAAATTAGCTTATTTACTTTACCTTTGCGTTGGATTTTTCCTTTAATTTGCATAATAATGGCATAATGAAGTGATCTCCCCAGGATTTTTTCTCAGGTGGGTGCAAAATTCTCATTATCACAATTCAGACCAAAATTGGTCTAAATATGACAGTTTTTCATGATTTTTCTCATTTTTCAAGTGGGTGCAAATTGATTTTCAGGTGGTTGCAAGCCCACTCAGATTGATGCCATTTGCCCACTTGTTTTAATGCTGGGGAGATCACTGTGGCATGTAAAATCGTTTGTATGTTTTGTTCACTCCCTGATGCTAATACTGTATTAATGCATGCTGCACCTTTTCAGGACAAGTTACTGAGTGACTTCAAGATCAACACCAGTGATTTGGAAGCTCAAATAAAGTAAGTGCATAAATGCTCCATGTTCCCCCTCATTCTGTGTTTAGGTGTTTCTTGTGGATTCATACCTTTTCTCCCTTTTAAATGGTTATATGCATGTATTTAAAGTGACAATATCAGTGTATTTAACCAGAGATTCATAAGCCATCATCGGCTTGAAGCAAAACTTAAAATATAAACACAAAAATATATTATTCTGTATATGTACTTGTATATTGAAATTGTGAGTTCATGTCTAGAACTTTAAATGAAAAGGTAAAAGTCTCAAAAGATTTTTTCCAGAAATACAAATTAAATTTTTTTTTATCATTCCAGTCATTTGCAAGAGACCATAGGCAACAAAGAGCGAGAGATTAGGAGTTTACGACGTCAGCTAGATAGCTCCACAGAGGAGTTGACGGAGACATCGAGAGGACGTGATGTTGCGGTTCGGGAAAATAGACGACTTCAAGATGATCTTGGAACAATGACACGAGAAAATCAAGTAAGCATTCATTTTTGTGATTTTTCATCCAAAAAATGTACAAACAACTTGAATAAACACACTGTTTCTCCTGGACTTAAGGAAGTTTTGATATAAACATTCTCTGATAGTGTACTTTTTTTTAGCATACTTAGGTAACCCATGCTTCAATACCATCTGTAGATAAGATTGCCTATAAAGTGAGATTAAAAGCAACTGAAATTATTTCCATTATTAACCCTTTTACTGCCATAGGGCCGATTGGGCCGATGGCAAAAACAATGGCGCTATATTGCCAAGAAATCGGCCCAAAACTGTTGTTTTGTAGGTCAGAAATATCCTAACGAAATTCAGTTTCATGAAAAAACGTTTTCACTATTAGGTCTTGTAAGTAACAGACGATGGTGCATCTGGTTTGTAACTCTAATTTTTCACGCACATCCGAGACGCTGGTACCGTCTTATACACAAGAAAAACACATTAAACCAAGTCCAATATGAAATCGGCCCAATATCGGCCAAAACTAATTTTTTGTAAACATAATAAAAGTGAATAAATTTGAGCGAGACACTATTGATATACAAACTTTTTGTCACTGTTAGTTTAAAAGTTGATTTCCAATATCAAAGCAGCGTTTCCGAGACGCTGACTAATATGTTAATGCATAGATAAATAATAGAATAACTCATTAAAATATGCCAAAAATACATGTATAAATTAACAGAAAACAAAAGAAAATAATTATGCGATCTTTTTGTACTTAGATTGAAATCGTAAAGTAATATCAATGCGTATGCTTTTACCTTAACCTACTACGTTATGAAGACGTTGTGTTATTTTTCGGAAAATGAATGTAAGGAGGAACATTACGCGTTTCCCTTAAAACATATCTGCGTTCAGAAAATGATGCTTACTTATCTGTTATCATTTACTTAATTAAACCCATTGCGCATATTTCAAAAAACTGTAAATAGACAACATTTAGGCCCACATGGTATTATTTCGTGAATAGGAGGTTCGATTAGGATTCCTGTCATAAATGATTGAAATACACGATATTTGATTTTCTATACCAGTGCAGTGTGAGACGTTGTATGTAAAGCCTGGGTCACAACTGACCGTACAAGCTCGTATGGGTGGTTTACGGGCAGAAAAATGGGAAAACTTAGAAAAAACGCACGCACTCGTGCGAAATTTCGAGTTTGCAGACAGCACTTTAAAGCCGTAGGCCGAATGGATTTTTATAATGCCTATAGTTTACAGTTGCGGACATTTTTTAAAGAGACAGTCCAACTGCTGTACACAATGTTCAGATGATACAGCGATGAACAGGATCATACACTATACATTGTATGTTAATTCATAGTCAACTTATTGTATACGATTTTACAAATAAAATGTTTCTTTTGTATGTGTTGTTTTATAGAGTTTACCGAAAGGAAATGAAAGTTCTTAAAACTTTTAATTTTCACATAAAACACAAAACGATATATTTTATTAGAAATTTGTTCAGTGCAGAAAACGAAGCCCTTTGAGTATAGTCTGATAGTATATATGTAGTTTGACTACTCCCGAGCTGTAAAATCTGAAAAACTGACGTTGAAGTAGAAAGTGGCAACTAATCTGATTGTTTTATCTACCTTTTATCTTCGTATTTGTTACTTGAAATTGAACCAAATGAAGAACAAAAAGTAGAGAACTTAGGGACTATAGGACCCAGCGTTCAATATAGGTCTTATATGTCTCAAAAGTATATTAGTATTGAAATAATACCCTGCTGCCAACCATTTATTTCGTGCCCTTACACTCTTTGTCCATTCTTTCTTTGGCATAGCCGAGTTCCATAACCCCGGGGAAATGTTTCGTTCGGTGCAGATTATTAATTGCCTGTCCAATTTAAAGGTCCTTGTCTGGGTCCTGTTAGTGGGTTTATTTGTGAAACAAATAATACTGAGAATGTGGAAGTAATTGGTGCGTAAAGGTGAAAACTTTCTTCAACGGGCATTTAATATTTCTGTTTGTCTATGTCTATTTTGCATGCATATTTTACACTAAATAATTTAAAATTAGTTTCAAACTTTTCAAACTTTTCGCGGCTTTTTTCCACTAAAAAGTGACGTCATACAGGGCAACGCCCTCACTTCCCAGAATTCATTTCGAAAAACAAGATGGATCTTATAGAATATTTAGATCTTGGCGAAGATATACGGGATGAAGATGAGGTTGCAGATGACAATGAAAGTGGTATCAGCGATATCGAGGAAGAGCATAGCATAGATTCTGGATCTGAAAATGGTGATGATGACGATGATGATGTTGATGTTGATGATGATGACGATGATGAAAATGAGGAGGAAGAATGGATGCGTGTGGAGCATGAACCAGGGCCCCCAGTCAGGCAGGGGCGTTTTCAAGAAAATGTAGGGGTGATTCCACCTGTAGAAGGGTTAAAGGATCCTATAGACTTCTTCAACCTGTTTTTCACATTAGAATTCTGGAATCTGTTGGTTACCGAAACAAACAGGTATGCAAAGACCTACACTTAGGCTTAAAGGGTTACAATGAGTTTCCCGTACAAAATCAATATGGTGGCTCCAGACGAGTTAACTGGATCAGTCCATTTTTAAGAAATAAGGGGAGTTTTTTAAATTTCAGTTTATTATGGAGATAAAATAATCCGTTTACAATGATTTTGTCAACATTGACATCGTGAATTATGCAACATAAACAGGCAGAGGCGTTTACACAACGCTCTCAAACCTGACTACTACCCTTGAGTATTAGTTCGAGATAAGGCTATTTATACTAAACGGTGAGCAACACCAGAAACGAGCGTTCGATTTGCTAAACGATATGCGTTACGCTTTAAGTCCCCAGTCTTAATCTCAATCTGGATATGACAACTTTGTATTGAGCTAGATCAAATTTGTATTCCCCTCGTATCGATATTAGTGAGGTTAAGCTAGCACATAAAATCGAAACGCAAACCTAAACGTATGGCCAATCGCCCATACAAATGCATCGCTTAAATAACTTACATTCGCGTTTAGGTTGTGAAAAATAATGCTAGCTTAACCTCACTAATCTTTTGTACCAAGCACACGTAATTGCAATATAATTTTTGTCTTGATATTTTAGGTACGCTCATCAACTGATTTCAAGGATGGATCAAACAGGATCCTTAACACCGTTTTGCCGTATGGGTAAGTGGATAGACCTGACCATATCCGAGATGAAATGTTTCATTGGGATCCACATGAATATGGGAGTAACATCGCTACCGGACATGACCTATTATTGGAGCAAAAAATCCTTGATTGGAACATCGTGGTTCGGAAGAATTATGAGCAGAAATAGGTATATGATTTTTACTCTTGTAATCTAGTGCAGTTTTAACCATTTCTAATCCTGAAACACACATCGCTTTAATTTATCGAGATACTGTACTCACCTTAAGCCCCGACTTTGATCTTGTTTTTATGTTAAACCTCAGTCTGTGCTCAAATCATTCAATTCACATTCTATTTCAAAGGAACTTTTAGCAGATGCGATTTCATTTTCAAAAGCTTTTGATTGATTTGTTACTATAATTTTGGTCAATAAAGCATGCACTACACATATGAACACTGAAAATGCTTTCAGATTCCAGGCGATCCTTCGCTGCTTCCACGTTGTAGACAATTCCACTTGGCCTGTCCGACAAAGTCCAGACTACATGCCAGATGCAAGGTTCAGACCATTGGTGCGTCACTTCAACCGTATATCTACCAGTCTTTACAAACCACACAAGTACCTTAGTGTAGACGAATCTCTTGTTGGCACGAGAGTTAATAGTGCTATCAAGCAGTATATGCCGCAGAAGAGACACAGTCGTTTTGGAGTCAAGTTCTGGTCTATATGTGATTCCGTGAATTTTTACTGCCTAGCAATACATTGTTACTTAGGAAAGAGATTTGAAGGTAAATATCATCCCGGGGTGTATGTTTCTATTTTGACACAAATTTGTGCCCTGCTGTTAATCGGAACAAACTAACCCGTAAGAATTTTATGCCCTGGTCACCGACGATACGTAGACTGCTTGTTATGCTATTTTATATAATTATCGAAATTAAATCGTATAATTCGAGTTAAATGATATTTTTGCCCCTGGACCTTGATATTGTACTGAATGTCAAATGTTTAAAATTTGTTTCAGGAAACTATGTTCCATTTGGCCTAGGAGGCTGGGTGGTGGACAAGATGCTCCAACTCGCCGGGCTATTCGGAAAATGGTACCACGTATGTGCGGACAACCTCTTCCCGTCACCTACACTAGCTGACCATCTCTCACGTCGACGCGTATTTTTGACAGGAACCCTTAGGAGGAAAGCAGATGTACCTAAAGAGCTGAAAACATGTAAACTTAATGTAAGTCTTGCTTCCTAAATGTAAAAATACTTTGGATGACTAATCGTGCAATATTTACTGTGAACCTCAAGTGTCTAATAATTTTTAAAGTTTTATGAAAACTGAAGTGTCAAAATGTAAGTTCCTGATGTAAAATATGTATAGTAGCCTTGAGATAGTTTGTTTGATAATCATTGAAACATTTGTATCAGGCACTACAGATATAAAAGTCCGGATAAACTGAAGAAAATTTATGTCACAGAAAATGGAAGTCAGAATTTAGCAAACTTGTCTAAGGAGAGAACCGCCTTCGTTACAAATCTATGTATATATTACCCCCTTTGTTTTAGAATAATGTTTCTCAATATGCTATGTTTCCTACTTAGGTGAACGAGGAGATTTATTTTCGTCGTGAAGGAACGTTGCTCCTTGGCTTTAAACCGACAAAATCAAAGAAAAGGCCAGTGCTGATGTTGTCTAACTTTGCTGTTGCGCGGGACGTGGCGTACAAGGGAGGGCAAAAACAGGAAATGGGAGCAATTTACAATAAGTTAGTAATGAACACATGCTAAATATTACTGATAAAAGTGCATAACCATAGGGCCTACGCATGCAAAAACGGATAAGAATTCAAACCATTGCCGGTGTAAAAGGGTAGGAGGTCCTATCAAATTATGGTCCTACTCTCCATTGATTTATGTGGTGACCTAATTACAACTCTTTCCCTTATTATCTTATACACAATCAGGGCCAGTAAGGGCCGTTAGGAAAGGGGACCATAATCCCTGAGGGACCATAATTTCTTTCACACCAGTTGTGTCCTTGTCATCAAACGTTCCGTTCAATTACAAGTACAGAATCCATCTTTTCTGAAATAAGTAATGTTGCACTCCATGTTAGCTAATAAAGACGTGGAAAATCGAGATCAGCGATGGTAGAAATTACTAAAATAACATCTCCAGTTTCACCCCTGATATATTTCCACACATTACAAAGGGTGAATATTACCAAGGATATATCAATAGAAACAACATACATGATTCACATTTATGTCTTACAGGTACAAAGGAGGGATCGACGAAAACGACGCGATGCTTTATAGATATTTAGATGAACGACGTAACCTGAGGTCGTGGAAGAAGATTGCCTTCAACATCTTGCAACGCATGGTTTTAAATGCCTACGTGCTGTACAAGGAGAATGCCGATGAAACACCGATGTCAAGATTAGACTTCCATTTGTCCGTCATAGCTTCCTTGACTTCCGAAACACAGGACCGGGATATGGTATTGAGAAAGCTACCGGGAAGGAGAGAGAAAGATTGCGCTGTCTGTTCAAATAGGGAGGCGGGAAGGAGGCGAAGGTCTAGGACAGTTTGCTCAGTTTGCCATAAAGGCCTGCATGAGGACTGCAGAAGATATCATAATTGTTGAAATAAGAAATCTTAGCAAAACGTAATTGAACTTGTATACGGAGTAACAACGGCCGCGTTTCCCACGTCGCACTACGTTTCGTCCACGGTAGCCTGAAACGGGACTGTCGTGACTACCTTGAACATAGTGTAAACAGGGTGTATTGTTCCTTACATTTATCTCAGCATGAAAAAATATATAAATTATTTTGCAAACATCCGGGATCAGACATAATAAAATAGTTTCTAGGTAATGATTCTCTGGTTTCTATTCTTTCTCTTTCTGTTGCGTTGTCTCTGGAAAAGAAGGTGTATAAATGTAAGTGTTTTTGTATTTATACAAACGCATGGCTGAAGGAATGATTCGGTTTTTCATGTTGACATATATTTCACTGCATGCTGAGCATAAGTAAAACCCTGAGAATAGTCTGCTGCATAGACACAGCTAATTATTGACAATAATTTCACCGTGCATTATTTCACCATACTATACCTTGCATTTGGTGTCCATGAGCAACCCATTTGGCTTTTCAGTAATGATTATGTAATTTGTTTTTATGTGACTGTTCCTTATGAATGGTTTATCGGATGACTGTTAGATGTTAATAAGGTACTTTCAAAAATATACTAAACAATCCAATTAGACAAACAAAGTGTCTTATGCATTTCTAAGGGTTAGGTATAGGAGTGTGTATTTATAGCTCGGAAAGTGTAGCATGGTTATATGATAATGACGTCAAGTGGACCAATTGTTCACCCGTGGCAATGTAACGTCATAAATTGTCAAAGCCCGATGGCAGTTAAAGGGTTAAAAGACATTTTAGAAGACATAACTAATGGATTCATATAATCTGTTATTTGTCAGATATTCTTAAGGCCCTGTCTTGGATCTTCGTATTCATACACTGTTTGAAAAAACTTCTGATAGAGACTAAATTACATGTATTAGCATTGTGGTTAATTACAGAATCTAAATGCTGACCTAGATGATGTCATTAATGAGCGTGAAGATCTAAAAGCACAGGTCCAAGATTACATGATAGAAGTTAAGCGTGTGGAAGAACTCTTGGCTGCAAAGGTATGTCATTGTCAGGCACTTTTTCCAAACTCATTTAACAGACACCCTCTTGTCACTGTCAGGCACTTTACAAATCACAAAATTAAGTATTGAGAAAAATCTAAAACCATCTGATGGCAATGGTCAAAATATAATATATCTTTTTCAAAACAAATTTAACAGACCCACTCCTGTCTTTACTCCTTTGCTATCCTAATTCCAAAATTAAGAAATGAGTTTTGTGAAAAAAATTGATATTTGAACCATTCACCTAACATTATCTGGCACATGAGTTTTCAGATTGCCATTTTTGAACACACAGAGATCAGATTTGTTTGAAAACTACACTGTTGTATCAGATTCAGTCTCACTAGTATGGTCACTGTTCCACAACTAGTTACTTTTTGTTTTCTCATTTTTAAACCTACTCATAAGTCGAGTTGCGATATATCATTTGGCACAAAGTAAGACAATATAGTATAGCTTTTAGAAATGCTCTTTATTTGGAGTTTGATTTTTAAATAAAGCTGTAATTTATGCCTTTAGACCATCGCTTTTGTTACATTGACGTTAGTCATCAAAGTAACATACATTGGACTTTCGTCAAATGGACTTTCGTTCCATATAATAAATTCTATATAATGATAAGTTTTGATATTATTTTGATGGTAAACATAGTGTGTACCCATATTCAGTCAGTCTTGTGATAGGGGTTCTTACTGCCAATTTTTCAAAGAATCTGAAAACTAATGCCACTTTTTGAAATTGCACATTTCAAGAAAAAAGGTTTATCTACAACTTGCAATCAGTTTTAAAAGTAAATGGAAGAATGAGTTTTTCGGAAAAAGTCTAATTGGACCAATAGTCTGTTAAATGGACCTGTTCTTTCATTAACAAAACTAATTCCAAATCAAAGAAACTTATTGAAGCAAGACTATGTTTTGTTGCTTTGTGCCAAATTATAATCTTCAACTTGACTTATAAGTAGGTTTAAATCGAGAAATTAAAAAATATGTATCCAGGAAGTTCATTGATTTTGTTACATTGACGTTCCATCAAAGTAACTAGTTGTGGAACAGTGATGGTGAGACCAGGGATGGCTTCAGGGATGGCTTCACTTTTGAATAATGCACTTTTGATGCAATTCAGGAACAAGAGAGATCCGATTTGTTAGAGCAATACAGATTACTGACAAGTGAAGCAGAGACGTATCAAACGCAGTCCCACCAATTGGAAAGTGAAGGGTCTAATTTGAGGCTAGAGGTGATGACCAGGGAGTCAGAGATTAGGAGACAGAGGGAGAAGATTGACAGTTTAGAACGTGAGATACAAGAGGTATTGGAAGCATATATTATGAAATACAATTTGTAATTACCCAGATGCCAGTAGGTATAGTTTCCCCACCAGGTGCCAAAATTCTTAATTATCCCAACGAACGAAGTTCGGTAGGGATATAGTGAAGCCCTCCGTCCGTCCGTCCGTAGATAACTCAAATATTAGTTTACGGATTTTCTTCATATTTGGTGGAAAGATGTATATTGATGAATTTTTTTACGCAAAAATTTTTTTTTATCAAGATGGCCGCCGCTTAAAAAATGACGGGACTTTTTCGCAAAAATCATAAATTTTTCATTCTAAACCAAAGTAATTATTATTGTTTGAAATTTTGGTAGTATATTCGCAACATCTATCTATTTCACATATATTCCGTGTTTTTCATCCTGACCTCCAGGGGCCATGTATGGGGGGTCAGGAAAACAGAAATTTTCGCTAATTTTTAGATCTTTCTGAAGTATAGCTTTATTATACTCAAATGAAAGTCAATTAAGAGTAGATTGCAAATATTGTATCTTTTTTCTGATTCGAGCCTAGTAAATTTCAAAATGGCCGTCTAATGTACGATTTCGCAATAATTTTTCGATCCCTTCAAAGTATGGCTATATAATACTCAAATTAAAGGAATTTTGGAGTAGCTCACAATTATGGTATTATTTTCAGATTTGTACCTGAGAAAATTCAAAATGGATTTTTTCAAGATGGCCGCCACTTTAAAAATGACGGGACTTTTTCGCAAAAATCATAAATTTTTAATTCTAAACCAAAGTAATTATTATTGTTTGAAATTTTGGTAGTATATTCGCAACATCTATCTATTTCCCATATGTTCCGTGTTTTTCATCCTGACCCCCAGGGGCCATGTATGGGGGGTCAGGAAAACATAAATTTTCGCTAATTTTAAGATCATTCTGACGTATAGCTTTATTATACTCAAATGAAAAACAATTAGGAGTAGATTGCAAATATTGTATCTTTTTTCTGATTCGAGCCTCGTAAAATTCAAAATGGCCATCTAATGTACGATTTCGCAATAATTTTTCGATCCCCTCAAATTGAAGGAACTTTGGAGTAGATCACAATAAAAGTATTATTTTTCAGATTTGTACCTCAGAAAATTCAAAATGGCTGCTTTGCAGGAATTCGCAATTCTAAAATCTAAATTTTTCAATTATAACCAAAGAAATGAGTATAATTGATTGGAATTCGGTAATTGATATTTTGTTTGTTGGGATTTGCTACTCCACGGAGTTGCCATTATCTAGTTAATTAATTCTTAATAAATTTCCTTATTAATGTTGTGTTACTTGCATAATAGTTAATTTGATAGGTTACAGGAGAAATCATTGCAATAAAGAATTTGAGAACGACAGAAAAATTCATGTTTAGATATATTAATTTAACAGCAAATAAACATCACTATGTTGCATGCTATATAGACAGTGCTTTTATTAAGTTTTAAATACATTTAATTATTTACTTTTTAAACTAAGTTGCATTGGAATGCAATAAAAAGGTCACATGAGGTACTACATGTATATATTCTCACATGAATGTACACACATTTTCTTTATCAATTCCTGAAGCACATTATCATGGGGTGCAATCGAATAATTTTGACAATTGGCCAGAGCATGACATTTACTAAGAAATTGCAGTGATCTAGCAGTAGCACAATTTTTTTTTAACTTGAAATATACTTCAATTTTGATAAATAAAGCAATCCATTCAAGCTGCGGTCAGTTGCCAAGTAATGTTTTAAAATCTATTTTTGATTACACAAAACAAAGACACATGTTGGAATAGTATTAAGACTATGCCAGATATTTTTTAAAAGCCTTTACTTGTAAAAAGTTATAATAGAAAAATGATCTTTCAGAGTAAAGGACATCTGCACCATTTTCAAATACTTCATATTTGATCTTGTAGAAGTGGGTTCCAACAGAATTCAGACATAATTATGAATGAAATAGCCATTGCATAGAATGTTTTATTTTATTTTGTCAAGATTAAAGTAGATTTCAAGTTAACAAATAACAAGTGCTGAATTATTGCTATTTCTTAGTAAAATGTCATGCTCAACCCAACTGCCAAAATTAATTGATCGCATACACATGATTATGTTGTATTATGAACATATCACAATGTTGTAATCAAGACACATCTTTCGAAAGAGCTTCTTCCTTTCAACATGTTTACTTCTTCCTAATCTTAATTAGTAGAAATCAGATTCGTAGATTCAGGTTGTCAAAGATCATATATAGTTTTATCTTCACATGACATCACTATTTTAATACAGGATCCCCTTGTCTCACTTGATAGCGTCACCGAGTTGCGATATTAATTAAAATGGATGACTATTTATCATTTGTCATATCCAGTTCCTGACATCAGACATATACAATGTTTTTATGTTATCTTTCTAATTATAATTGTCACACAACCTTAGATCAATATATCAGTGTTGTCTCCAGCTATTTTTCAAAATAAATACCTCTTTCCACTCTGTGCGTATGGAATTTTTTCAAATTAAGAGTCCAGAAACCTCTCCTCATAATGGAATTAATTAATTTGTTGATGACATGAATACAGTTGATCAACTCCCACAGTCACACAGCATCTAGTCATCACTAAACACCTTGGAGCTGTAGGTTTTTATCACAACATGGAAAGGGTTTCAAAAGACCATTGAACTAGTTGTGAGAGGCAATCAATGCCACTTTATCCCAAAATATGATATATCCCAAAGAATTTTGAGGGAAATATGATATTTTGCATACTATGGAATAATATAATGGTTCATGTATCTAGTCAGTCTATGAGAAATAAATCTTTCTGATCCATATATGCAAGCTTACAGTGTATGATATGTCTTATGAGTTTCAATTCATAATTAAGCTTCAAATGTCTGTACCTTTGTGTTTTATAATTACAGCATATGCAAGCTAATAGAGCCTATGAGGTGCAAATGTCTGACCCTTTGTGTTTTATAATTAAAGCATATGCAAGCTAATAGAGCCTATGAGGTGCAAATTCCTAACCCTGTGTTTCATAATTACAGCATATGCAAGCTAATATGAGGTGCAAATGTCTGACCCTTTGTATTTCATAATTACAGCATATGCAAGTTAATAGAGCCTATGAGGTGCAAATGTCTGACTCTTTGTGTTTCATAATTACAGCATATGCAAGTTAATACAACCTATGAGGTGCAAGTGTCTGACACTTTATGTTTTATAATTAAAGCATATGCAAGTTAATAGAGCCTATGAGGTGCAAATGTCTGACTCTTTGTGTTTCATAATTACAGCATATGCAAGTTAATAGAGCCTATGAGGTGCAAATATCTGGCCCTTTGTGTTTCATAATTACAGCATATGCAAGCTAATAGAGCCTATGAGGTGCAAATCTCTGACTCTTTGTATTTCATAATTACAGCATATGCAAGCTAATAGAGCCTATGAGGTGCAAATGTCTGACCCTTTGTGTTTCATAATTACAGCATATGCAAGCTAATAGAGCCTATGAGGTGCAAATGTCTGACCCTTTGTGTTTCATAATTATTACAGCATATGCAAGCTAATAGAGCCTATGAGGTGCAAATGTCTGACCCTTTGTGTTTCATAATTACAGCATATGCAAGCTAATAGAGCCTATGAGGTGCAAATGTCTGACCCTTTGTGTTTCATAATTATTACAGCATATGCAAGCCAATAGAGCCTATGAGGTGCAAATGTCTGACCCTTTGTGTTTCATAATTACAGCATATGCAAGCTAATAGAGCCTATGAGGTGCAAATCTCTGACCCTTTGTGTTTCATAATTACAGCATATGCAAGCTAATAGAGCCTATGAGGTGCAAGTATCTGATTTGACGCATTCAGTTGCAAGCCTTGAGGAGAGGGTGAGACAGTTAGATAATGATAAGATATCAACGCAACAAGACTTAGCAGCTGTTAGGGACCTCTGTGCTAAAGTAGAATCTACAAAGGATAATCTTGCAAGACAATTGTCATCTAAGTCTATGGATAATGAACAGGTAACAGATAGTGTCCAGTTGTCTTCAATTTTGATTTTGAGTTAAATAGCATTTAAATGCCCTTTGTATGCATGTACCTTTCAAGCATTACTCAAAGCCACTACAAGTAAATAACAGTATAATGTTTATGTACTTTATGTATTTTGTAAAATAAATTCTATGAATAAAAAAAAGAAGCATTTCACATTTTCTCATTTCACTTTACCTTTTTCTCAACGTTAAGAAACAAATCAGTTGCTAGGTATCTTTTGGAATAAACTAGCTTATACATTATGAATTAATTGTTTGTTTAGATCCAGACTCTGCTTGATGACATGAAACGAGAAGTTGAAATTCTACGCAGCCAGGTGGGATCTGAACGCACAAATGTCAAAAGTCTAGAACAAATACTGCAAACAAATCGCGAGAAAGAATTCCAAACTTCATTATCCTCTCAGGAGAAAAATGCTGAGATTCAATTATTGAGGGATCGTCTTCAGCTGAATGACAGTAAAATGTAAGTGCATGGAAACAAAATATTTTTAGTTGCAAAGAACTTGTTTTAGATGAATTGTCAGCATATTCCAGAGAAACTTTGTGAGTTTACTCAATGAGAGACTGAGTAAACCTCTTGACTAATCAGAGTGATGAGATTTCTCGTCACCAAAGAAATGACCTTGAAACCCAAGGTGATGGATAATCTGTCACAATTTTTTCCACTAAATTTGCTCTAATTTGAACGATTACGTCCAATTTACACAAAAATTGTTTAAAAATGTGTAGAAATGACCTCTGCTGACTAATATCACTAAATTTAGCATCACCTGTTGTATGTGTATGTAGTAATATGTCAAAAGTTCTCTTATTTCAACCGATTTTAGAGACTGGGATTCAAGAGGTTAATAAAGACTTTGTAAAACTTTCATTATGCTAATGTTTCACAAAATTTGATGTTTGTTTTTCTAGGGAAAGTTTAAATCGAGAGATATCTACACTAAGGAGCAGAAACATTGAGCAAGATGCGGAAATCGACAGACTTAGAAGAGACTTGACCAATGAGAGATTTGAAAGGTAAAAGATTTCAGTCATCCATAATGTATTATTTTATAAATCCTTATTATGCTTAACAGAAGAGAACCCAATTAAAAGTAGTGCTGACATATTGCTTGTATATATTTTTATCATACATATCTATTCCACTGATCTCGGGTGTCTTTAGACTTAATTAGTGTATACTTGACATTTATGTGCATTTGAGCGTTTGCTCTCCAAATCGAGGAAATAAAGAATGATATCATATCATATCATAAGCTCATAAATGATTTCTTTTGGTGTCGTGTTTTGCATGAGTGCATGTTAGAACGGCGTGTAACTTCATTCTGAGCTTTGCCACGTAACGAGACACATTTTATTTTAATAAAATAAATTAGGATTTAGAACATTTACATGTCTTTGATTGATCGCGTACCCTTTCCGCATTAATTTGAGGTTTTGAATGGCCGGGATCAATCAATTTCGATCAATGTTAATTTATATTTCTTTGTTAAGTCTTAACGTTCTCATTCAGAGTGCTCTTTCTATTTTATCATTACTTACATTTCCAGAGAGAGGACGTCTCAACAGCTCCGTCGCCTTGGTAACACCCCTCCCACAGATAGTGGAAGAGCTAGTAGGTCAACACGCATCAGTGCAACATCGTCAAGGTCTTCCATGAGTCCAACCAGACGCACCAGATCTCCCGACCGCTCATACAGTCGCACCAGTAGCAGGGCAGAAAATGGACACTTGTAACTTGTATAATGTAATCATTTGAATTTTATTTTTGATTGTTTTTATTTTTGATGTCAATATTGACTGTTAAATGGATATGGAGTTCTTGCATATTTTTTATTTATATGGGTCCAAGTAATAAATATCCAAGTACAAATTAGAGTGAATCACGTTCAACGGTTAAATGTGACAAATGTAACTAGGTGACATACTTTCTCAGTAATGATGAAATACTGTACTGTTATTAAAGTGTTTATTGCTTGGGGTATTGGAATACATAGCATCTGTGACTGCGATTTAGAGAAATATTTGGCTCGAGGGCATGCCCTGAGGGAAAAAGCTCTAAATCTCAGTGCCATTGATGCAATTGAATATACCATTGTTTCATGTATTGAAACCTCTACTAAAAGTAGTAGCTACTCAAAAATGGAATGAAATTTCATCAATTTTGTCTCACCCTGTAGATAAAATATGTAGACCAATCCTATAAATTAAAACAAAAAAAAGGGTCTGCTTCTTTAAATGTATAACTATTTGAAAATACAGTCGTTACTGTATTTCTTACAGATTTTATTGGTAAATCAATCGATGCATTTATGATGGAAATGTTTGTATATTATTGTATAATATTGTATTTTGTTATGAATCCTGCCATTAATTGTAAATAAATTGTAATATGTACGTCTCAGACAACACTGCCACACTGCCATTGTTTATGTACAATTTATGTACATGTATATGTATATTGCTCTAGTATTAACAATGTAAATATAAAGTTAAGTAGATAGATTTTAAGCTTCATCTATATAGATGGAAATTTTACCAACTGATAATTATGAAATGAATTTGTAATATTTTATAGTTTTAACATGAAATAAATCAAATATATTATTGAATATACAAATGTTTTTTTATCACAAATGTTTGATTCATATTTAACATTTACTGAAATGCTTGGATAACATTTTGTTGAAATTTTTGCGCTTCTGTGAAGAGCAAACAAACTATAACGATAATGTACAGCTACTCAGTATAGTATTTACCGATTTAGATTTTTATAGTGTTTGATTTGAAAATAACTACTGTAACTACTGTACTGTGTTCGATGAGAAATCTTTTCAACATATAAGACATCTTGAAACAAATGTACCGCCACAATCATTAACGCAGGAACCTTAAAATGATAAGAGGCGTGTGTTTGTATGTGCACTTAAGTTCATTGTAAATATAGATTCCCTTTAGAAATAATGGTAAAAGAGCATTAAGTTTTTTACAACAATGATATAATTTATTTATTATTTCAAATAAGATCTGTTAGAACACATGTAGATTGTGCGATTGGATTCTGTTTTGTTGGGCTTGGCTCTGAGTCCTCGTCAATACTTTCTAGTCTCACCCTAGAGGGCGCTAGAACGGGATCTGCAGAAACACGCCGAGACGTGTGTTTTTTCTCGTGTAATGCTCGCATGGCATGTAAATCTACCAACAAGGAACTCTCTGCTGTGATAGATTGACTCCTGGCTTTGTCATATGTTAAAGTGTCTAGGTCAACCCCGCCATAATTTAATTTAGGAACTTCTAAGAATTGCCCTGATGAGTTTGTCATTGAGACTGATCCTCCTCGTTTTGGAAGTGGTGCTAAATCAGCTTCCACTTGCCTGAGGTCGCTTATGTAGGAGTCCTGAGTGATCTCAGATGTACAGATACTGTTCCTGTATGCGCTGTCACTGGCTGCACTAAATGCAGATGAAGATCTGGTTGTTTTGGTGGTGATAGTCGCATTGGATGCCATGCTGTGATGTCGTGTATCTGCTTCACGGAATCGTGTGTTCTTAACACGTTTCCTTTTCTTCTGTCCACGTAGCATCCTCTTCAATGTATGGCGGAATCGTTTATTTGTCATTGTGTATATGTATGGATTTATAGCGCTGTTCATCAAAAGAAGCCATGTAGCTATAGCATGTATCTCAGGCGTGGAGGGATCATGGCCAGTATGGTTATCAATGGTCGTTTTCATACTGACAACGACATAGGGAAACCAGCAGATGAGGTATACGAGGATCAACGCGAACAATCGTAACGTTGCCTTAAGGCTCTTTTTCGTATTTGACTGACCGACATTTGAAGTTGTGCTTGTTGTGTCATGATCAAAGTCAGCATTGCTTGCGACACTGTTTTCTTCATGATCTACTTGTGAAAAGTTCTCCCCCGAGTGTGTGCTATTGAACATGGATATCCTTGCGATTGGGTCTAACATGGCTAATGCAAGTGCACCTGAGTTTGTCCCAGTGGTCGGGCTGTTATGTTGATCCCTGGTTAACTGGATTGAGATATCAGCGATACGCCTAGCATGCTGCCGCGCCACCTTTATAATCTTAACGTAGCAGTATGTGATAACCATCAATGGAAATGCGAAACAGGTCACCAACATAAATATGGCGTAACTCAGATGATACGTCCAATCTATGCTACAGATGTACCTGAACTTTCTGTAGTCTATATTGCCCCAACCTAGCAATGGTAAAGTGCTACATATAACGGCCTGGGTCCATATCCAGATTACGACTTTGGTGATGTATTTGATGCTGGAGCGAGAGGTGTACTCGAAGCAGTTGATGATGGCCTGGTATCGATCCATTGAGATTGAAGCAAGGCTCAGAGCTGAACCGATGCAGCATACGCTTGTCAGGAAACCAGCTATCTTGCAACCCGCCTGGAAAACAAAATACACACAGTGAGGTCTAGAAATGTTTAAAAAACCATATAATAACAATTCAGAAATTATGCATTTTCTCGAGTATAAAATGCATGCTACTGCTGACAGACATTAGACTGAATTAAGCGCAAATTGCTATTTTCATATTTTTCTTGTTGAATATGTATCTTCAGCGTTAATCAAATTTTACCCTCGTTCAAAATACGAACTACAACCCCCTCATAAGATTGGTAACCCGGACATTACTGCAACTAACGGCTTCCGGCTACCGGATTAACCAATTATTTTATGACCAACTCATTAAAATATGAATAGAATAGTGGCAGGTACTATTCATATTTAAATGAGTTGCCCATAAATAGTAGGTTAATCCGATAGCCGACAGTCGAAAGTTGCAAGCTAAGATAGTATATTAAACCCTTGCCCGTAGCCAGCTTTTACCAGGGGGGGGGGGCTTTTTGCAAGGGGGGGAGCTTTTTCACAATTTTGGCTAAAAATCATGCGAAAAATTCTCAGAATGGTGAAAAACTGCATGATTTTGAAAGAATTTCTGGCCAGGGGGGAGCTTCCGCTCCCCCAGCTCCCCCTCTGGCTACAACGGGCCTGAAACCCTGTCTTGAAAATTTGCAACAACGCTACCCATTAATAATACAATCATTCTTGAAGATTAATTGATAATTTGTAAATGTTCATGAGACGAGCACATAATTTCAAAGGGGGTGATGACCTAACTATGATTCGCTCTTCTATTTCTGTTTGCTTCTTTGTGAATTGGAGCGTGATGACCTTAGTATGATTGATAACACATAATTCAATTTATAAATAACCGGAGATGAAATGAGAAGCTCCTTTCAAGTTGATGTAAAGCATTATCATGCCATGATTAAACCTCCTTCCTTCTCAAGTCTCAGATGTCAGATAAAAAGATGTGATGAGTGTCATAACACTTTTTAAATAACCTGTTCCTCTCAACGATGCCATTCTGTTGTGGGTGTTAAGGTGATGACTTTAAGTTCATTCGTCCGTTTTATGGGTCTTTAAATGAAAGCATTTATTGAAAATCTTGATTTTTTGTTCTTGGCCTATATACAGGGTGGGCCAAAAAAAACCACCCCCCTAGCCATTACTCCTGATAAATATTTATTTTTCAACATGTACACCAACAATGATATATCATTTTAAAGATAATTTAATTTGCAACAAAATGATATATACTAGCACCATTTTCAACAACCCCATATAGAAATATAACCAATTATGTGACATGGGGGTCAAAAAACACCTTTTCAAATTTTCTCGATTTTGCAAACAAAAGCCTATTTCTACCAAATTTTACTGTTCAGTTCAAAATTGCAACATTGTCATGAGTCTTTCATGATTGGATATTATATATTGTTTTCATTCAGTTTTTGAACCATGCATGCTCAATAAACATGTATATGCTTATAAAACAAATTAATTTCTTCTTCAGTCTGTCCAAATATGGCTCAATAGACCCACCCCCGGACCCATCCTCTGATCAGATTATTCGCTTAAGACGCGGAAGCCATTCGTTGATGGCATAATTGATGGATGTATGCGGAAGTACCATTCAACTGCTAGTTATTCTTTCTTTTAGTTCCTCTTCATCCCTGATAGGCTGGGTATCTTTAAATACCAAATGTTTTAGATGCCCCCAGGTATGGTAATCAACATTATTGGCATCTGGACTGTCAGTAAGCCATTTGTCCGGGCTAGAGATGGTGTCATTTCGAATCTCCAAAAACTCCAGGGTAGCATTGGACCTGTGTGATGAAGCACTTTCCTATCAGAAAATGAATTTTTTTACATGTTTTCTATATCCTTGAGGAGTCCTTTTTAACACATCGTGTCATTTACATTCAGAGTATAGTTTTGCTCCTGGTTCAACAAAAAGGGCCTGTACGGTCTCTCCTTTTTGGGAAACACCGAGTGGACACCACTGCCCTTTCAGAAAAATGTCATCTCGATTTGAGTAGCCTTTTATTGCAAATGTCCCTATTCTTGCTTACTGATATATAGAGTATATCCTGTTGATTACATGTATAGTACTTGGGGCATTTAGAACAGTTGGTCTATGAAGATCACAAGCCTATCAGGGATGTAGACAGACTGAAAGAATGAATAATTACGAGTTGGATGGTACTTCCGCAGAGATCCATCAATTATACCAATGGCTTTTGCGTCTTTAGAGAATAATCTGATCAGAGGATGGGTCCAGGGGGTGGGTCTATTGAGCCATATTTGGACAGACTTAAGAAGAAATTAATTTGTTTTATAAGCATACACATGTTTATTAAGCACGAATGGTTCAAAAACTGAATGAATATAATATATAATATCCAATTATGAAAGACTCATGACAATGTTGCAATTTTTAACTGAACGGTAAAATTTGGTAGAAATAGGCTTTTGTTTGCAAAATCGAGAAAAATTGAAAAGGTGTTTTTTGACCCCCATGTCACATAATTGGTTATATCTCGAGCCAGGGTTGTTGAAAATTGTTCTATTATATATCATTTTGTTGCAAATTAAATTATCTTTAAAATGATATATCATTGTTGGTGTACATGTCAGAAAATAAATATTTATCAGGAGTAATGGCTAGGGGGGTGGGTTTTTTTGGCCCACCCTGTAGAGGATTTCACCCCACTTTTGGTCGGGGGAAGAGCTATACGTGTTTAAGATAGACTTAAAGAGTTCATGGTCTTAAGTAAAGATTAACAAACGCGTTTCGAGCTCACAATTGCAAGATAATGTTACGTCGCCTAGCTTAGCATGTTCAGTGTCATAGGCAGCGTCACCATTGCCAACCCAACTCCCAAAACATCGAATGGGAAAGTTATATGCAGTAGATCCAAAAATGAGATGAAATTAACCAAATAACATTGATGCACATGTGTCAGTTAAGGACAAAACATAAAAACCATCATCAGATCATGCAGGGGCTGAGTGACCCCTCCTTTCAGGTCATGTACCTCATACATATATCAGATTATACGTCATCAGATAATACGACATACGTCTGAAGCATCTAATCTGATTGACACCTCTATGTTTTACAAATGAATCCTTTATTCTCAGACATGGAAACGATTATAACCCAAAGAAGCTAGTTTGACAACTACGGAATTGTGTAATATATGCATCAATTGATCAATAATGAATATAAATAAAAAATGAAAATTGAACATGAGTATATGGGTAAAATCTGGTTCACTTATTGCCCAGTTTGTTGAATTAATTCAACATACTCAAAGGGACTATCTGACATCGCGAGCAATGAGCTCATATTAGTAGCGGGGCCTTGAAAGATATGATAACATTGAAATAAGACATTTTCCTTGAAACCTTATTTATTAATTATAAAGTACGAGTACATACATAAAACACTGCAAATAATACTAAGTGACACCATGAGGAATATATTATTACAAGAGCAAAAAGGATCAATTTAACTAGTTAAAAAGTGTAATGTATAAGACTCCTAAAATAATACGGTAAATATAATGAGCCAAAAACGACATCATTAACCTTCATAGACAAGGCAAATTGTAACCGAATGTAAATCAAATATTAGAAGTTGTAAACACTATTTAATAACGTTAACCACATTCTGTTATAGCAAGGTGAAACAAGTTCTGTCGAGTGGCTATAAATTAATTTACCTTTCTAGGTAAGATCCAAGTGCTTCTAATTTAGTGTCTTGAAATTGCTCTTATTCTTGATATGAAATCATATGTCATGAGAGCCGACGCTGATACGGTGATAAGCTCTTTAGTTCTCTGTCGAACATATTTAATCTGTGTTAGGCCATTACAAATTAAATTGTGTTTAGCGACTTGTTCACTCTGGACCATTCAAAGGTGCACAATACGCCAACTCTGTAAATCATGACATGTTTTGGCTTTGATTTAATTCTTAAAAGTTTCAGAACCGAATTGGGATTAAATAATTAATTTGTATTTGATTAGGTATCCTTAATGCATTGCTCGAACTCGCACTTCTTGAAATTCAATCTTCTATTAGTGTGCAGGTAGTTAGTTTATGGCATAATATGCCATAAACTATGATAAACTTTCTAAGTGTGTCACGCGGTATTCCTCGTGTTCTCAGCAGCCATTCTTCGTCTTTTCAGTTGTGCAATTTGCTATTAAGCAGAAAAAGTCTTAGAAGTCTTTACGTTCATTTCTCATTAATTGGTTCTCAGGTGTTCTCTAGCATAAGTATGTTATTATTAGACGAATATATAGTGACCATCAGTGCAAATAATTTCCCCGATGGTTTATATGTCTACTAATATGTACCTGAGGTTGTACATGTATTACGGACTATGACGTCGGCTTTGGGAGCGGCCATTGACACTTTGACACTCACTCGGGTCTTTCTATTTAATTTGAGAGTGGATTTGTCAGTTCCACATCGTTCGAGACTTACTGCTAGTTACTGAGCGATAAATTTGATAAATTAATTAGCGATACATTTGGTTATTTTGATAAAGGGCACACATGAAATAAGCATTATCAGATAATATAGATTTTGATATTATCGCTAACATCGATAAATCTGAAAATGCTTATTTCACGTGGGCCCTTTTCTCAAAAACGTATGCCCCATACCCTGAAGAATTTATCGCTATCTTTAAACAGGACTGAACTTATTTCACGTGGGCCCTTTTCTTGGTAACATTTGCTCCAGACCTTTGTTTTTGTCAAAATCATCGCTCTCGCTATCATCGCTACTTGGGCTTTAAGCTAAAATGATTTTTCCAATTGAGTTAAGATTATCGAAATTAACAAACATTTATCAATTTTTAATTAATGAAAACTCCCATTGAGATAATACGGGGCCTGGGAAATCATGCAAAAAATCAAATATCACATATCCTTATATGGTACTGTAGGAGCCTTGTATGTAAGGGTATAGGTGGAACTCTTATTTAAAGAAACAAAATAAAAGTATCTAAATAATAAATATCAT